ATGTTCTTCATTCCCTCCCCCCCAAATGGTGCTCGCAGAATGAAACAGCATAACCAGAAAGCAGCATGTTCCTCCCAGGCCTAACCAATATGGATAGTGGGGTGTGTGTGTGTGTTCACATGATGTAAGTATGCTTTATTTACACATTTTTTTTAAAAAAAAAAGGGAATTAACACTCAACAGCTTCTCTATTTTGCAGTATTATTCAGTATCATAGTAGCTCCAAGGATGGCGCCATGATTTTATCTCATGATTCAGAATTTGGGTAAATATGCTTTCTTTTTTAAAAAAAGAGAGTGTAGTGGTGAAGAAGATAAATATTACAGTTGCTTAAGGTTTAGAAAGACCAGTTTGTGACTGCTTTATCAAAAATTGCTATTACTGACTTGGTTGCATTATTGATTTTTTCTATAATGAATTCTAGACCTGAAATTAATTTGGCAATCAAATATTATAGTTGTAGGTGGAATCAAAGCAAATGTGGGATATATAATAGTATCCACGTACTTTTCTTGTTTCTGTTCAGAACACATATAAAACGATGTTTAAAATTAGGTAATTCACATGTACTGGAAATGTAGCTGCTTCCCTGCCAGCAGCCCCAAATATAACGTTCATTCAACAGGATGTTTATTTTCTTTTGTCAGCAACAACACTATTGCTTACAAGGAAATAAAAATGACTTCACTTCACAAATAAATAGTTAAGATGTGGAAACAAATGCCACTGAGAATTTGCACAGTAAGAATTTGCACAGTAAACACATGGAGACAATGAGCTGTTTTCAGTTGTGTGGTGGGCACACAACTACATTGCAAGTGCAGTCATAGTCTTGTCCCTCTGCATCTGAACACTAACAAATAAGATGGTTCATCAGTCACACACATAAAAACCCCAAACATTCTGAGGACATGTAATAACAAGTATAAAATATATGCAGAAACCAGAACTGCAAAATTCAAAAAGAAAGCTTTAACTGACAGAAAAATTACATGGCATTTACTTTTAGTTTTGGGGAATATATTTGCAAAGGCTGAAAATATCTGAAAATGTTGAATTTTGTATATACTTATGAAAAGAATAAATGCTTGTCACAAACTGCAGCTATTGCAAACCATTCTGTAATTTAGATAGTGTGTACTTTTGTTTTTAGCAGTAACTTGAGATTAAACCAGGGAGCTGCTTTTGTTATTGTGGAATATTTCTAATCAATCACAATGGGATAATTTATTATTATCTTGACTTGAGATTATTCTTTATTATATACATTAAGGTCTTTGACAAACTAAACACAAATTTTGTTTAAAATAAGAGTTTACATATACACACTCGATTTGATAATAAACTATATTCTTTTATCATTATGAATAAATAGGTGAACATTGTGGCTGTAATCCAGCCATAGTTACCTGTGCTTAGCTTTCATTCATTTCCATAGAACCAAACTGCATCTTAGTGTGGACAACGTTACAAATTTGGGTGCTCAGTAAACAAATCTGAAAGTGTTTAACTAATTTAATTTTTAAAGAAAATGCTAAGAAACAGTCTTTAATTTTATAACGAATCTTCCTGATCCAGCAGTTTGATTCTGACACAGGAATTCTATCAAATACATGCAGAGCTCCTGTACCTTTTACTTGTCTGATTATTTCAATGGAAGATACAGAGCCATATCTTCACTAGGAAGCTCCTGCCCACAAGGATGCACAGTTCTTTGTGTACAGATAGGCAGTTTGCTGAAAGGAACTTTCTAAACTATATTATATACAGCTAAATCAATTTTTAAATGAATCTTCAAAATGATAAAATACTCAAGCTTGCCTTACTTAAAGTGCAGGGAAAAGAAATTCAAGTTTACAGTTCAGATTAGATCAGTGCTATGGAAAGCAAAAAGGAAAAGTTGCTGCATTGAAAAAAAATCTCCTTTGGCTATAGCTTTCTAATACAGTATTGTTGACACTGTATGTATAATAAAACCATACAAAGATAACAGATGGAAATCAGCTTAGTTACTTTAGACCTAATGTGCTATAAGGTATGCTAACGGTGTCACACTTTCAGACTTGCTTGAAATACACAAAATATTTACATGAAGTAACATTCAGAAGTTACAATTTGGCAGTTTTCTAACTAAAGAAACATGTCTTCAGTTTGTTATAATTAAACATGATAACATTACATAAAGACAAGTAGCAGCACTTTGTTTGCATTTCATCAATATAAAAAATAGTTCACCTAGGCTGTGTATAGATGCTTTTTCCCCTTCTAAAGTAATGGCAACAACTTGGCCCTGCTATCGGGGAATGAGCCTTGACCCAGGATCAGCAGCTTGATAATTGTACAAATGTCACTGAAGGAGGATCCTTGCTGGCACAGTCTGTTCTGTTTGGGGAGTTCCTAATTTCACCTGCTTACTCTGACCTAGTTATTCCCCAACAAAGTCTGCACTTCCTTGCATTTTAAAGAGGCCAAAACAAGAACTTAACGTGAAACCCACATTGCAATACATTTTAAAAAGCACTCTAGGCATTTAAGTGGGGAAGATAATGTCGTCAGCCAAGAAGTGTCAATAACAGTTCATCGAGATGATGATATCGATTGCAACAGTGCCGATAATGTTACTGGTATATGATTCTGGCTTTCCCAGTACAAAAATGAAAGTGCAAGGGGAAAATAAACAACCAAAAGGAGAGGTCTTGTTTTGGGAATGTTCTCTCCCACTGCAAAACATACTTTCCCATCTTCCTGTTTTCATAAACAGAGGCTCAAAAACTGACAAATCCATTCATGGTTTCAACCCTTATAACCTCTAGATCCACAAACTCAGTATTTCAATTCTTTCTTCCATAGTACTTGAAAAATATGCTCACAATCCCCATTAAGTGCTGCTTCAGCACTATTAAAATGGTCTTCTTGAGAAATAATGAAATTGTCTGTGTAGCTAGAGGGGAAACACCTAGGAACCAAAAGGTCATACCCAGTTAGTTTTGTTTAAACTCCCAGCCAAATCTGGGATCTCTTCCTCTCTCATCTTTCTGAAAACCCAAAGCAATTAAGGAATGCTGTGAACAGCAAACTGGTACAAAAAGATGGGAAGCTCTCTCAGGAAACTTCAGCCACTCCAAAACCCCCGTTTTATGTAAAAATTCAAACCCTGAGAATATTCAGCACATCACTATGAAAAACATTCAAAACCAATTTGACCAAGAATCACAGGAGGCCTCCAAAAAGAACACATACACCACGTAAGCGCTTACATGACTGTTTCTAAAACATTCTTATTCTTACTATAGTTTTCTTAAACACAGAATGAAATGCCAACCCAAGTTGATGAAGGCAATTTTCCCCAAAACTACATGAATGTATTTATACAAAATTAATTGTCCTACAAAAACAATTGCCTCTTACTCCAGTTGGATTGACAATGTGAATTGAAAGAACTGGAAAAATATCACAATTATTCACGAAACCCAATGTCTTCAGATATTTTCTAGCCAAATCACTGAATACAAAATGTGAGAATAAGCACAAATTGAAACAAATATTAATGACCAATCATTTGGGCTTTCATGGACTTCCTCATTCTTGGTTTTCTTTATTGTTTCTTAAAATTACACAGCCAAACAAAATAATAATAATTTCTTGGTGTCTGTTCTAGTTTCTTAGATACGGTTGTCATGGTTTTCTTTGGGCGAGCAAATGGCGACTAGTAGATGGCATATGTTCTGTATCTCAAAAACTAGAGCTGAAAGGGGGAAACTGGTGCCATTTTTGGCATCAGTAGGTCAAATATACCCAAAAACAGGTCTAACATTTCAGGCACTAAAATGTGTGTTGGCCAATGTTATTCAAAGATTATGCTTTATCATAATATTATAGCAAGGTAAAAAAGGTTTCCAATCTGTTGTTTGTCAAATACTTGGTGTTCAGATAGCCAGATCTCAATGTCTTTTATCTCAAAATGGGGTTGTAACATCAAAAGAAACATCATTTCCATAGTTTTACAGCAAGGACTACCAATTTGCCATAGAATTCTCTTAATTTGGTCATTTTCTTGAGTGAATAAATTAACTATTCAACTTAATATTTAGCTCAGAGTAGAAGGGAAAACTAACCACGATTAATTCAGTTTACAGGATATAATTATTCTGTTGCCAAGTAAGCAATCCAGTCAAATATAAGCACTGAAAAATCAATAGGATGCTGTTTTATAGCATGTGTTTATGCATCTCCAGTGGAAGATTCTTGTCTTTGGTTGGACAATGCATTTTGTACACAAAATAAACATTAGCACTGTAAAAATTGAATTAATTAATGCACAAATACCAGTTGCCACAATTAACAGATATTAATGCTGGTCATTTAATGTCGACATCACTGACCATTTTCTTAATATTTGTTTTATGGATTTCATCCAATGTATTTATACAAAGAACTACAACTCAAATAATTTACCAGAAATATTCTTTATAGGATTTTAAGGGCATAAAAAGAAAAACAAATATTTAAAAAAGTAACTGTTGTTTCTAACCAAGTTGTTGTAGGCTCAATTCAAATGCTTCCTGCTGCAGAATTACTTCTACAACCTCAAGCCATTATAAGGTTGTGGAAACACCTGAATTTCTTCCAGATGGGTTAATCTGATTTCTTAGTACCCTACTATAAACAGCAGTGCAATTTGATGTATATATGTGAACTATCTGTTAGCCTCAAATGATAATTGAAAGGTGGGTTCAAATATCCACTAGTCAAGTCTATCTTTACTGCCCCCAAGTGACTTCTGCTTGAAACCAGGCTGCTTTAGGGGCTTAACTGCATTTCAATTGAAGGGGTTCAAATTAGTTTCATTTACAAGTAAGTCTTACTGATTGAAAATATCAAGCTGTGCAAAGCCAGTCAGTTACTTTTTCAATCTGAATGGCACCATACACAGTGCAAAATAATCTGTTTCGAGCAAAAGCAAATTTGTATACCACTGCTGAAAACACAACAGAAAAAAATTGTTCTGCAGTCTATGTTTATCACATACAAGTCAAGAAATCCATTCAACACATACACAGTACAATCAAGTTCAGGAAAATCAACCTTAAACTTTTTCTAGCCACACACTGGCACTTGCTTAAATATAAAGCCTAAACTAGTTAAGGCTCTCTGAAAATGATCACAGATTAATCACATTTTCCAGCTTTTAACATGACAAAGATGTCTATCCTTTAAATTTTTAAAAAATAAATCCTTTTTTATTCTTCTTACATTATGGCTTTGATGCAGCCTTTATTCGCTAAAAATATACTGCTTCAGTTTGGCACATCTTAAATCCCTCCTCTCATAAATCTACTAGGAATCTCTGAGTTGCTGAATTAGTCAAACATCAAAGTCAACATTTTGTTTTTAGTACTGATCTCTGGGGGGAAATCCACTATGATTTAAGTATTATTCTGTAATTTGTGCAGTGAAAGACACTTACATGGGAAAAAAATCCATTTAAACCAAAAGAACTTTCTTCCAAGTAAATGTACACCAGATTCTGGAGACAACCTTTTTCCTGATACGTTTTTGACTTCTAAATATATTTGAAACATTCTGAAGTTTCTGTCATTTAACACAATTGAAAACAAATGATTGCTATTACTATCAAGTTGTATCTCAGAGTCCAACACCACTTGAACTCAAGACCATTCCACCTGGGAATTCAATTTTAATTGGGTACATAAGCTGGCTACATATCTGATAGTTCTTATTTGAGTGCTTGCACAAATACATTCTGTTAAACACACAAAAGAATATGTACAGCATGAATTAACTTATAATCATTTAAAAATATTTTATAAATTGACTCAACAATATTTTCAGGAAAATAAAAAAATATAGGTGGTTGGAATATGATAAATGTTTTTTCTCATTATAACAGACTTTTTTTTTTACTTTTCACACTAAACAGCCATAATACAAATGAAAACTTCCAGCATGATGTGCAGTTCAATCACTTGTACATTTTTTACAATGCAAAAGTAATGTATACTTTTGTTTTCCATTTAACATTGGCTGCTTTCAGTCATCAGAATAAACAAGGTTTATTATGGCAGGAATAAGCTACAGTACAGTTTGGGGTTCATATGCTCCCTCTTCCTCTTTGCTATTTGTGCAGCAATGACAAAATTTACTGGTGGTTAACTGCACTTCAGCATTATGTCCAGTTCAATCTAACTATGGTATGTTCAAATAAGCCACTTTTAAATTATGAATTATGAAGTAGATGTGTTTCAAATAAATCAGGGTTAGATTAATTATTATTAAGCATAGTGGTTGGTTTTGGACGAAATAGCAAACTGAAATTAGTATCAAACCAAAACAGAACCAAAGAAATCCCAGTGACAAACCAAAATGCAGTGAATGCCTTTAAGCTCCTCATTGCCATAGGTGGGAGAGGGAAAAAGCACAAGCTCAAGACTTACTGTGGCTCATTCTCATCATGATAAACCATGCCTTATCATGAAACCTGAATACAGCAACAGTATGATAATACAAATACAAGAATATTAGATCAGGGGTCCAAGAAGAAACTATGTGCATGTTAACTATGTATAGACTCAGGATGGAGCCAACATACTTCCAGTTTATCAGATCACAGAGTTGGCAGCAGAGTAAGTCATTTCCAGTAATAGCTATTACGACGTGCTCTAAGGAGGGAAGATGTAGATCAGTTACTAGTAGTCCTGTACGTTGAACAGCTTTATTCTAGCTCTTGGACCCCTGATTTATTGCAGCCTCCTATATGAGGTTGAAACACTGGCAGCAACAACAATAGCACAAAAACTTTTGGCATATGAAATATTAACACAGGATAGATCCTGCATTGCCCCTGCTTATCTGATACCTACTTTTCCTTTTTTCCTGTCCATGTGTTCTCTTTATCAGTTCTGTTCCCAAGCTCTCAGTCAGCCCACAGGTAAGACACACACACGCACACACTATGTGGGTGTCAGCTTTAAATATAACTATCCTCAGGTAAAGCTGTACGACTGAGGTAAACAGTGTGTAATTTGTGCTAGGAAATATCAGTAACCATTGGCTGACAACCTTCCAGTTCGCTGGTCCTGCAGAAGTTAATGAAAAGGAGATTTTTCTTCAAGGTAAAGTTATATAGATGCATTTGAAAAGGTGTTGTCAGAACTGGTACCACTTCTTATCTTTGCATTTCAACATCATCTGCAACAATACAAAAGAGTACAGTGTATTATTTCTTATATAAGGGTTCAAAATACAATTTCTTAGTTTAAGCAAAAATAATAACAATGGATAAGCCATTATTGAAGTCACTCTGAATTATAGGTAGAACTCTACCTGGCAATAAGCTATTCACATTTTATAAGGTACAGAATGGTTTTGTGTGGCTTTATATCTCTAAAATATCCTACCTCTCACACAGATAGGTAGATTTCTAAGGATTAAACATCACTATAAAGTAAAGTGACTATATGACTAAGAAGACAATGTATTCTTGAGTAAACAGAGTCAGTTGTGCATGAATAAATATTTTTCCTGTTTGCTTGTGACAATGTAGCACTCTCATGTTAGTGATCAGAAGATTTGTCAGTAAGGATGACCAGTCTAGACGATTCCTTTTTCTTTCTTTCTTTCTTTTTTTGGAAATATTTTTATAGACAGAGTAGCCTCCCATTCTGCTCCATTCAAACACAGGATCTTGGCCTGAACATCACAGTGAGCAGAAATTCCAGTTCCTTATGAAAAAGATGGTGAGTTGGATCTGGCCCACTCTTGAAATAGGAGTGGATTTTTATTTTAAAACATCTTCATCCTTTTGGCCTATGGCTTGCTTAGTGTAATATGTGAACTTTGGAGGTTCTCCCTATCTAGCCTATCTCCTGCTAAGCCACAGAACCATTTCAGTGTCTAGTAGTTGCTGCCATGTAATAGTTGCACCCCTGCTTTTGTGTCCTTCAAATCAACATTTTTGCTATCCTTGCATTATAGTAGCAAACTTTATTAATTGACTCAGTGTGCTGCTGGCAGATAACCAGCATACATTGTAGCCAAGAAAGAAGAAAGCTTTCCTGCTTTAAATAGTCTAACTAGGCTTCCCTCTCCTCATGTCTTGCTGCACTATACAAACAACAGCTTTGCCTGCCCATCCGCCCCCCCCCCCTTCACCTACACTGCTTCACTAACCTGCACACCTGAAAGAGGAGTGTGCGGGTGGGCAGGCAGACAGATGAGTGAATGATGTGCTGTAAGAGAAAGGGGGCGGATGGGACTTCTCCTGTACAATCTGTCCTGGAAACTTCTCCAGCCAGCTAGAACCCGATTGGCCGATGTCACCCAGAGGACTTTTTCTTCGGCTGACCCAGGATTGTGGAATGACCTGCCGGAAGATATCAGGACAGCTACATCTGCTGTTGGAATTTGAGAGCCCATTGAAGAGCTATCTCTTCCGGCAGGCATGCCCAGTCAATTTTTAACTATGAAGTGTAAACTCATTTCCTGTGTTTACCGTATTTTACTCTTTATTCTATGTATTTCATAGAAATACATTTTAATATATATATTTTACATAATGTTTTATGATGATGTGTTTTAACTATGCTGTGCCCTACTTTAAGGAAAGGCCCGTAATAATAATAATAATAATAATAATAATAATAATAATAATAATAAGCAGGTGCATGGGCAGGCAGATGAGTGAAGTGCCATAGTTGAAAGGGGGTGCCTGAACATAAAACTGGAATGATTTTTTTAAACATGTAATAGATGCACCCTCTTTTTTTGGCCAAAAAGGGATAAAAAGTGTGACTACTGCACAATGAAAGATGGTACTTTAGTTCTTTCCACCCCGCTTTACAGTCATTGCTTGACTTATTATAGGAGAAAAAAGCCTGAAAGATAGCTCCGATTTGCACACACTTGCTGTAAGCTGAAAACAATAAGCAATGAGAGCCAGCATACCACTCACAGTAAGCCAAGGTTCCTGTGAAACTCTAGTTTACTGTAGGGTCTAAATAGTACCACTGAGTGAAGGAGGAGATTTGATTATTAAGAAAAATACAACCATTAGCTTACCTCATGCGCATGCTTTGAGAAAGAATCTGCACTGGCTAACATAGCTGCTGTTCGTTCTTCTAATTCTCCTAGCTTTTGTCCTCTTTCATCTAATGCTATTCTGGCTCTTGCCAATTCACAAACTATTCCAGATGCTGCTCCTTTGACTCCTTCTATACCACCAGGACCAGGAATATGCTGAGCTAGACTTCTTGATGCCTTCCCAGCTGCAGATTCTCCAACTAGTCATGTCAAAGAAAGAAATAAGGAACAAATGTTTCATATCTTTCTAGAGTTAAAAAAGTAACAAGTTACGTGGACAGATGGCAGAAATTGAAATAACGTCTCGTCTGATGTTTCCCTTTTGGATTTGTCCAGTAGGCAGCTAATACCAAAAGGGCAACCTCGTTATGTTCTAATAAAACATGCATTTAAAGATAGGAAGTAGAATGCAGAGCCATGTTTAGAAAACAGTGTTAAGTTTCACAAAAACAGAATGTATATGCTTTCAGTCCCCTATTCAAGTTCCACTCTTTTAATGATTTTAGAAAAACGTTGGATTTTGGTACTTACCTACACATGATTTTATGTATATATTAATATTTGAAATAATTTGGATGAGATAGATTCAAATCAATTTCAATTTCTTTCTTGGAAGTTCACTTCACTCTCATGATTTTCAATAATTTATTAAAGACATTTATCTTCCAGTAGGCTACTGTTCTTACAGACACTTTTTGCATGCCAAGCCCCAATTAATTCAATTGGAAGTGTGCATCGGAATGTAGCCTGTTTGGTATTTTTGCTGGCATTTTTGCTGTATTTTTAGATTTTTAAAAGTTACTGCATATACTTGTGTATTAGTTGACCTCGTGTCTAAGTTGAGAGAAGTTTTTAGGGCCTAAATTAGGGATTTTTATATGACCTAGAGATACATTGAGGGTACATGGGCCTCACCATAGGATCCTCATCTATTCTGCAGAGAGGCGAAAGCACTAGTGCTGTTATAGGAAACCAGATGTCCCTTGCTCCCACATCCACCATTTTCCTGCCTACACATTGCAGAGTACAGGGAGTCTGTATTCTTTTCTTTTCATTTTCATTTTTTGTTTTGTTTTCCATGGATGGAAAAAAAATCCTCAAAGGGAGCCTTTAGTCCACCAAAGACTAACTGTCCTTCAACCAAAGGGTAACTGTTCATCATCCAGAGGATCTTTTCATCAGCTGTCCCATGACTGTGGAACGGCCTGCCGGTAGAGCTCTGACAGTTAGATCAGCTGTTGGAATTTAAGACACAAGTGAAGACCCTTCTCTTCTGGCAGGCCTACCCAGATAGCTTTGATGACGAATTTTAAGCTCCCATTCTATGTCTACCTTTTATTTTGTGTATTTACAAATGTATTTTATTGAAATATAATTTAATATGTGTATTCTATGGAGTTTTAATATGTGTATTTTACGGAGTTCCTGGATCACCTCGACAGCATCCACCAAAAACATCCAATTCACCCCGGAAAAAGAAAATGATGATAAATTGCCATTTCTAGATGTCCTAGTCACCCACAAACTTAATCAACAATTCGGCCACAGAGTTTACAGAAAACCTCTACACATGGATAACCTACATAAATTTCCAACAATCACCCAAGTCAAAAAGAAGCACAATTAAAGCCCTGGCAGACCATGCAAAAATAATCTGGCAACCCCACTTCCTCCAAGGTGAACTGAACCATCTAAACTGGGCTATACAGGCCAATGGATACTCCACCACAGACATTAGAAGAGCTGCAAGGTCAAGAACAAACCACGCAAGTAAAGACAAAGATCCACCCAAAGGAAAGTTCTTACCATACATCAAGAGAACCACTGACTGCACAGGGAAGCTGATGAAGAAACACAACCTACAAACCATTTACAGACCCACTAAGAAAACCTAACAAATGCTACATTCAGCAAAGGACAAGAGGGATCCTCTGATCTCTGCAGGCAGCCATTGTTCTGTGGGGTCCCACAGGGCTCAGTATTGTTCCTCATGTTGTTTAACATCTACATGAAGCCGTTGGGTGAGATCATCCGAAGTTCGATGCCATCAGTACACAGATGACGTCCAACTCTATTACTCCTTTCCACCAGATGATAAAGAGGCTGTCCAGGTCGTGAACCGATGCCTAGCAGCTGTGACAGTCTGGATGAGGGCGAACAAACTGAAGTTGAATCCTGACAAGGCAGAGTCAGTTGCAAGGCCGAACAGGTTATAGGGTTATAGCCTGTGCTGGATGGGGTTACACTCCTCTTGAAGGTACAGGTTCACAGCTTGGGAGTTCTCCTACACTCAAAGCTGAACCTGGAACCTCAGGTGACTAGGGGGGCTTTAGCACAATTAAAACTTGTGCGCCAGCTGTGACCATACCTTGGGAAGTCTGACTTGGCCATGGTAGTCCATGCTCTGGTTACATCTCGTATAGAGAACTGCAACACGCCCTAAGTGGGGTTGCCTTTGGAGACTGTTCAGAAGCTTCAAAAGGTCCAACAGGCAGCAGCCAGATTGGTCACTGGAGCAGCGTTCAAGGAGCATACAACTCCCTTGTTACACAAGCTCCACTGTCTGCTGGTTTGCTACCGAGCACAATTTAAAATGCTGGCTTTAGCCTATAAAGCCCTAAACAGTTCTGGCCCAGCTTACCTGTCCGAACGTATCTCTCCTTATGAGCCATCTAGGAGTTTAAGATCATCTGGGGAGGCCCTGCTCTCGGTCCCGCCTTCTTCGCAGGTGCGACTGGTGGGGATGAGAGACAGGGCCTTCTCAGTGGTAGCCCCTCAGCTGTGGAACTCCCTCCCTAGAGATATTCGATCAGCCCCTTCCCTCCTGATCTTCAGCAGAAAAGTGAAAACATGGCTGTAATAATTTGTTTTGCCAAAAACCCTTTCTGGCAAGAGGGGGAACTTCTACATTTTCAAATATTATACTAGCCGTCTCCTGCCACGCATTGCCGTGACCCAGTCTGTGAATATGTGTTTTTTGTGTGTATGTATGTGTATTTGTGTATATATGTGATTTTTGCATTGTAAGGTATGTTTTATTTTTTGGCTTTTTAAGTCTCTTCCATGTTTTTATGAGTGATGGTCACTTGTTGGCCTGATAGTTGTCTTGTGTCCAAATTTGGTGCCAATTCGTCCAGTGGTTTTTGAGTTATGTTAATCCCACAAACATTACATTTTTATTTATATAGATTTCTGCCACCCTCTGCCGCTTTTATACATATACGTATGCACTAGGCTATAATGCCAATAAGGGGAGAGGAGACTAAACTTCGCAGAAACTCAGCAACTTACAGTTCACGCCTTGAAATACACTATCTCTGTGTCACCTTTCTTTATGTTTGTTACAGGATTTAATTTTAAATGTCTGTATAAGTCTCTTTGATGTGTAGCCCAATACTGTAGTCAGTATGTAGCTTCCAACTTCTCTTCACAGGTTACATCAATATAATCTCCAGCCAACTTTTAGGAATGTAACTTCAGTCCTGTAACTTGACACGAGACTTTAATATATTAGTTGAAACAAAGAAATGTTTATTTATGAAGTCGTGTGCACATAAAATGTATTTGTTACACAATATTTCACTTCAGTTCCACTTGAAGAATACATAAAACTGATATTATATAATTTTCAGAACAGTTTAACTTACGTCAATTTGGTTAGGCAACTTCCTTCTCTTTCAAATGTAATTTCTCCTCGGCCTTCTGACTGGATAACTTATATCATATAGTCACCTTTTCCATCAATAGTCTGACTGTAAACTTAGTCCCAAAGGACTGTCTCTCAGTTCTACCTGACTGAGAACCTAGACTCAAATTAGTCTCTTATTACTTCAGTGCCACAACTGAAGGCACAAAGTGGTCCCTTTATTACTTCAGTATCATAACTGAAGACTTAAACTAGGAATCTCTTCCCTCTAGCTCCCCTGGCTAGAGACTGAATCATTTTTTTAAAAAAAAATCCCCTCTTTTCATTTTCAAAAAGTTTCCTTTTCTTCCCAGCTAGCTCCGCCCCTTTTTCTTGCTAGTCACTCTAAACTAGATACATTTCTACTGCAGAGGCTACGCAACCATGGTGATGCATTGACCAACCAGATGTAGCCAACTCCTGCCTGCCCTTGCCATAATATCAACATTAATAAACACAAACGAAACCTCCATTATAATTCGTTTTTTCCGTTACAATGGCATATTGAAAAAACCTGGAACCTAGTGTAATAGATAAACATGAAACTATGTGAAAGCGAACACTGGAACGGCTTAGATGGGTTGTTGTAGGTTTTTCGGGCTATATGGCCATGTTCTAGAAGCATTCTCTTCAGAGGTTTCGCCTTCATCTGTGGCAGGCATCCTCAGAGGTTGTGAAGTCTGTTGGAAACTAGGAAAATTGGGTTGATATATCTGTGGAAACTCCAGGGTGGGAGAAAGAACTCTTGCCTGTTGGAGCTAGGTGTGAATGTTTCAATTGGCCACCTTGATTAGCATTTGATAGCCTGACAGTTTTTAGGTGTGGCTTGTTACTGCCTTGGAAATTCCTGTCTTGAGAGGTGACCAGGTGTTCCTGATTTGTTTCTTGTCTGGAGTTTCCCTGTATTTGAGTTTTGTTTTTATTTACTGTTTTAATTTTAGAGTTTTTTTTAGTGCTGGTAGCCAGATTTTCTTCATTTTCATAGTTTCTTCCTTTCTGTTGAAATTGTTCACATAGTTGTGGATTTCAATGGCTTCTCTGTGCACCATGACATGGTAGTTAGAGTGGTCAAGCATTTCTGTGTTCTCAAATAATATACTATGTCCAGGTTGGTTCATCAGGTTCTCTGATATGGCTGACTTCTCTGGCTGAAGTAGTCTGCAGTGCCTTTCATGTTCCTTGATTTGTGTTTGGGCAATGCTGCGTTTCGTTGTCCCTATGTAGACTTGTCCACAGCTGCATGGTATAAGGTACACTCCTGCAGAGGCTTAGATTATGTTTTTGGACAATGAGGCTAATATTGATGGTAGTGGTTTTATATGTTTTTAAAGGTTTTAATGTATGTATTTTATACTTCTGTTTTAAATCTTTATTGTAATTTTTACATTATTTTAATGATATCGAATACCTGCCTATTGTAAAGCCATTTTGTGTCATCTTCGGATTTGAGAAAGGCAGTGTAAAAATATTGCAAATAAATAAATAAATAAAATTAATCACCAGATATTCATAGCTAATTAACTACCCGAAAACCTGACACACAAGGTAAGAGTGAATGATTATAATTGATAAAGAATTAAGAACTCCTGCCTATCCAGTTGACAAATGGGAAACAAGCCATTGATCTGTGGGTTGCTTCTCCCACCCAGAGAAGTGCGGCATCTTCCAGGTTCTCTCAACTCCCTTTAATCTTCCTGCACTAACAATACCAAAACAGCCAACATGCTGGGGAGAGGAGAGGAGATTGGACTTTTTTCAGTTTCTTTCAGGACAGACTAAGATGAGATCTCAACCCACCCAGGGAGTCTAAAAGAAGCACTGACCTCTTCTGCTCAGTGTGCCATGTCCACCACCATTTTTTTTCAAGAAAGCATCACAAAAGGTCAATATTGCACTCACTTGTGTGACTCACTTGTGTGAATCAGCTCAGGTTTTAAAAGCCAGTTTTCTGGCATACATTTTTTGACACATACATGAACATATACAATACACTAATTATATTATCTATCTTTTTAGAAGTATATAATGTCAAGGTTATAAACTATGAAGGGTGTTTATGAATTCTCTTAATAACTAACAGCAAGTAATTCCACATATGTTTAACATATCCAGTTTATAATTTTTTTATAGAATTGAGAAAATGTGCATGCTGTTGAGTCCAAATATATGCACTAATTATTTATATTCTGTATTTATATGGCAAGACTATTTCTAAAAATAATAACTATTATTAATAACAACTAATAACAATAACTATTTCTAAAAATATTTACATCAGGAATCTAGTTGTTAAGAAAAGAAAAACAGTGCAGATTAATGTAAAAATTATCCCGTGTTAAAGGACAGTTTAACATACAGGGTGCAGCAGCATACCTTCCTTTTTTTCAAAACTTAATAAAACCCATTGTATAAATCAGAATTTGTTTATATAATGTAGGCGCATACCTAAAGTTTTGTTTTACGTAGTTTTGAAGATCAAATTAGGTAGGTGACGTCCCCCATTCTCCATACACTGAGTAAACCAATTTCTGGCGTTTGTCATGACTCTTGCCAGCATAGCAGGCGTTATGTTGGCAATTTCTTCCTTGATGTTGGTCTTCAAATCTTGTAGGGTCCTTGGATGGTTCACATAAACACGGGATTTCAAAAAACCACATAGAAAAAAATCACAAGGGGCCAAATCTGGAGAGTGGGCCGGCCACTCCAAATCCCCCCTAATTGAGATGAGGCGCTCTAGGAAGTGTTCCCTCAAAACAGCCATCAATGCTCTTGAAGTGTGTGCAGTTGCACCGTCTTGTTGGCACCAAATGTCCCCTAAGTCCAACCCAACTAGCCGTGGGAAAAAAAAATTCCTGTAACATGTTTACATACCAGTCCGAATTCACTGTCACTGCAACTTCATTTTCCTCAAAGAACCAGGGACCAATAATTCCAGCTGAGGAAATTGCACACCACACTGTGATTTCAGGTGAATACAAAGGCTTTTGATGCAATTCTCGAGGATTGTTGTCAGCCCAGTAGGGCATGTTTTGTTTGCTGACTGATCCACACAAATGAAAATGGGCTTCATCACTAAAAAAAAAAACAATAGCGTCCTCAGGAACGCCTTTGAGAAGAACTTCACACATGTTCCTCTGAAAACTGAAGTCACGTTCAGAAAGTTCCTGCACAATCGCCATCTTGTAAGGATGGAAATGAAGATCATCATGAAGAATTCTCCTCACAGAACGATAGGAAAGTCCAAGGGCAGACGAATGTTTGTGCGCAGAACACTGTGGTGATCGCAACATTGAAGCTCACACTGTCTCAATGTTCTCAGATGATCTAATGGGCCGAGGGACTCAAGTCTTGTCGCACTTGCAGTTTGTCTGAATGTAGTGACCCACGTCACAATTGACCCATGTCCAGGACAGGGGCCAATGGGGCTAAATTAAAGTGATTCCGAAAGGCGCGCTGGGTTGCAATCACAGAACATCCGCTCGAAAAGTAGGCCTCAACGGCAAAAGCATGCTCCTCACTGTTCCAACACATGATGGCGACTGAACTGTGTCAGGACAAAACTTTATACTCCCGCCTCTTGAATGAGACTAGCGCTCCGCTACGTCTTCAACCAACTGAATGGCACGCATTAAAAAAAAGGAAGTTATGCTGCCGCCCCCTGTATTATGTATTAATAGTTAGTCTGATAAATTATGTCAAGTATTTCACTACATATGAACATTTAAAAAAATGTTACAAACTTACAGAGTTCCTCTCTGTCCAGAGATTGTGCACCACCTCCAAATAGACCTTTGAAGAATCCCCTGTTTGGTGCTTCTGGTGTTTCCACTGGTGTGAAGAGTTCACCCAACATTTCCTTTAAAGAAAAACATTGATCAAAGAAAGTCTATCTGCCTTTTACAAAAAAGGCAAAAACTCTATTTTATTATTTTGCAGTCACAATTTTAGATTTTCATCTCTTAAAGAATCCATACATGTAGTAGTCTGATATCACCTTTCTTTCGTTAACATTTTAAGTTGCCCCTAAAGTTCAACTTTACACTTTTTCAAACAACTTAAAGAGATAGCCTTATATAGAGAGAATAAAATTGATAACATTTCTCTACCGCATTGAAAAGTAAACATTTATGAAGCCACATTAAAATAATTGTTTTATCATACACTGATGAATGATTGAGCAAATGAACTAGCAATTGCAAAATTTAAGTCAGTGTAGAAATTTGACTTTATTTATTGAATTTACACCTTCTCTTTCTACCAAGTGGATGCAGAACTTGCCTCCCTTTCTCTTCATTCCCCAAATTACTTAGCTGTCTCTACACCTACAAGAAACGGGAAGACTCACCCCAAAGTTGGCAATTCAGATTTTTTTTTTCCGTGTCAGGAATGACTTGAGAAACTGCAAGGACATTGCCCGGGGGACACCCAGATGTTTTACCATCCTGTGGGAGGCTTCTCTCATGTTCCCGAATGGAAGCTGGAGCTGACAGAAAGGAACTCACCCCACTCCCCAGATTCGAATTGCCGACCATTCGATCAGCAGTCCTGCCAGCACAAGGGTTTAACCCAATGGTCCACTGGGGGATCCTTGGCAATTGATGACATACAGTTACTTCTTTCACAGAGCTTAACTTTGCTCAGAATTAAGCAAAGTTAGGGAAAATCTGGTGTTTCCAAGAAAGTCCAAAGTGACGTTGGTGCTTTTGCTGTGTGAATCAGATTTGGCCTGGTCAGTTGTCTACATGGCAGAACTGACGTCACCCCTATTTATCATGTGATCAATAAAGAAGGGGAGATCAACCTCCTTCTTATTGATCACACGTTCAGTTGCTAATTTCTAACCTCAACGAAAGAGACAGTGCATCAGACAGGCTTACTGTGGACACGTTGGTTGGCGAGGAAGTAGCCGTAGCAGTTAATCTGAGGCAAGTTATAGAACAATACTCTGCCTGCCCCAAGATTAAGTGGCCAGTGCAGATATACCCCTGCTCATTAGTAAGAAGAGGTGAAAATGTTGATACAATGTTCCAACTAAAACATAAACCATCTAGATACAAGCAAACTGGACATGATTTGTAATAGCTCATGGTTTATGTGGAAAAAACCATTTTTGACTCAAGTATAGCTTTCAATTGCTTCTCATTCTAAAGAAAAGATATGACTTTTAACCCATCAATAGAGCATTTCTTCAAAGACTGTTTTCCAAATTATACATTTATAAATATATTACTTTTTTACCTGCAGATTTTCACATGTTTCTTGACTGTAGGTGATTCTCTGAATTTCTGTAGGTGAGACAAGGTACAATGCTTGCCCATTGTTGGTGAAACAAAATGTTCTGGCTATCCGCATGTTGGTAAGTGGTAAGTAATATACATCCAACAGTGGCCTTAAACTTGGCAAACTTGAAACAAATACAAATAAAAATGGTTTAAAATGAAATAGTACTTACCCTATAGCTTAATACAATACTATAACAATTTTCTTCTTAAAAAACATACACTAACAACTCAAATGTGTCTAGTTTTCTGCAGTAAAGTATTAATTACATTGAGAGCCAGGCTGATTTGCATTTTCATCCTATAAACATTTTTGGAAATGGAGGGGACAAAGAGGGGAAGTTCATTTTTCTTCCTACTAGTCACTATGAAATGTATCTAATTCCCCGTGTACTCTTTGCCACCAAGTTCATGATACAGTAAAGTAAACAGAGGATATAGCAGAGAAAGGCAGAGAGCCACTCTCCTTATAGATAGTAATTACAAACACAGCTTGCTCCTGCCTGGAAATAGAGAAATTTTAAAAAAGAAATATATAGCAATAATGGAGGGAACATGTCAATTGACAATTAAATCTCACTTTGTTGTTTTTATGTGCCTTCAGCTGAGAAAGAACTAGGGATTTTAGCAGACCACAATTTAAATGTGTGTGATTTGGTGGCAAAAAAAGATAGTGCATAGCAAAAGAGCAGTGTCACTCTAATTTGCTTTAGTCAGGCCTCACCTGCAATATTGTGTCCAGTTCTGGGCACAAGAGTTCAAGAAGGAGACTGACAAGATCTTCAAAAGTCTGGAAACCAAATTCTTATGAGGAACTGGGTAAGTTTAAACTTGGAGAAGACTGAGAGGTGATATGATTGCTATTAAATATCTGAAGAGATGTCACAGAGCAAATGGAATGAGTTGTTTCACTAGAACATGAAGCAATGGATGCAAATGATATGAAAAGAGCTTATTAGAAAGAACTTCATTACCATAAGGTCTTTGAACATAAGGTGGGTCAGCATCTTTCAGGAGTGCTATTGTTTTATAGCTGCATAGCAGGGAGCCGGACCCAATTGTCCTTGTAGCCGCTTCCATTTCTAAAATTCTGTGATTCTAAGCTGACAGTGTCATGGTGACTGTAAAATTTATTTAGAGGTGGTTTACCATTGCCTTTCTCTGAGCCTGAGTGTGACATGCTCAATGTCACCCAGTGATTTTTTTTTTTTTTATGGCTGAGCAGAAACCCAAACCTTGGGCTCCTGGAATCCTAGCTACATCATGGTAATCTAGGCTAGAGTTTACAGTAGATAAGTAATATTGTTAAACTTGCTCTCAGTTAGTCCACAATGAGAAAAGGACAATCTCCAAGGTATAACCTTCAACCTGAAGGTCATAGAGTAAATGTCTGCTTACTGCTGTGAAACTTTCTCCCCACCTTCTTTTCTAACTCCCTACTTATAGGATCATCTCTGGCCTTCAGGAACAGAGTGAGTGAACTATAGGAAAAGGGAGGAATCAGCAATCCCCATATTACTAAGGGAAGAGTTGATTTGGCAGCATCCTAGATTTTGCTGATTCCAACCTGCATACCACACACAGGTTAAAGGCTGGTAGCAAGTAAACAGAATTATAAAAGTGGTTGACAAAGTACCATTTATACATGAGTCATGCTGATATTGTAGATATATAAAGTGATCAAGAGTAGCATCTGGTTAGCATATGAACAGAAAACTATTTCATAGTATAGTTATCATCCCTGGCCCCACACCAGGATGTTTAATTTCTCAAATCTTCTAATATTTATATATTATATATATTATATTTTGGTCAAATATATATATTTGAACAACAACATGCTTTTGACTGACTAAAACTCTTGAACATTTTTAGAATCCCATAAAGAAACACACGAATTATTTCATTGCAATCCAACTCAATTCTATGTTACTGCTTATCTTTCAGGAAAATAGTGTTTTACATCAAAATTTGCATTATGTATTTTAACGCAGACAGTGAAGAATAGAAAGCATGAATTAACTTGCATTGCCATATTATTCACAAATTGTACTAGGTCACATAACAAAGTAACATGTTGGATTGCAAGTGATTCAGCAAATAGATTGTGCTTGATGTATGTACAAAAGACAGACATACTGCATGACTCAATTCTGTATTCATCACTTGTATGACCTTCAGAGTAAAGAAGGCTCTTCTCCTCCTTGTGCCGTTGAAGAACATACACATGGCATTGCTAGATAGCCAGCAATTTTAAAAAGTGTACAAAAGTAGGAATACAAGAAAAATGTATTTAGCCATAGTTCATTTGAATATTTGTGTCATACTAAGGCTGAAACAAACCCACTGTTTTTCATAAACAGTTTATCTGTTTGTAGTGAACACATATAGAGTAACTACTGTGTATTTTCCTTTTAGAATTTTATGCCTTACCTAAAAGTCATTATATGTCCATTGGCACAGAAACAAGCAAGGCAGATACTGTTACTCAGTGCCACTATATCTCCACGAAGAACGAACGAAGTCTCTGTTATATTTTGCTTATAAGTACAGTTTTGTGAGGGCAGTGAAATAACTTTTGCCTGCTTTTCAGAACATATCACTGCATATTGGTTTTCACTTATTTCCTGAGAGGATGATGGAGACACGGAGACAGGCCGGCGTTTTTTCAACTTGTCCTTTTCATCCTTGTCTTCAGGTACATTTTGTTCTCTCCAAGATTCATATGCTGGTGGAACTAGAGATCCTGTAGTGTCCAGAAAAGCCATTCTCAGGATTGCTCCTTTAAGCCTCAAAATGGTTCCTAGAATACAGAAATTGATAATTTTTTCTAAAATGCCTGTACAAAATTATGACAAAGGTGTATCTCCTCTTTCGGACAAATATTTCCTCTATGTGTTCAAAGTGCATTTTAGAATGGTGTGAACCATTCTTAAAATTATAAAGTTAAATAGCTCATGACAAAGAGAGCTGGCATTTTCAAGACATTAAACATCAAACTTGAGCAGTGGTTTCCAACCTTTTTTTGACCAGGGATCACTTTGACCAGGGACCACTTTGGCCAGGGACAACTCTCCAACATTAGTACCAAAAGAATTACAAATCAGGTTTTGGTCAACTTTAGATTTGGTTTGGGATGCTGATTCAGAAATCTGCATTGGATAGACCACATCAGCCCTAGTTTCTGATACAGAACATATGTCATCCAGTAATCACCACATGTTCGCCCACAGAAAACCTTATTTAATAAGCCCTGGAACTATAAGAGGGTTTTGGGAAACCAGTGGCTCTCGTTACAATGGTGTCATCATGATGAGGCCAAGGACCATATTTTAGTTCTTGTGGACTAAATGGTTAGTTCAATGGGAGCGACTGAACTAGAGAGTCCACTTGGAGCCATGAGAAAATGAAGCCAGTATTCCTTAAAATCTTTTTTTTTTTGTTTGAACTCCCCATTCCCCTTTTGTATCGCTTATCTTTTAACTCTTGCCATTATGAGTAAAAATGTATAAAAGATCATTCTAACAGATGTGTTTGACTTTGGGCAGTAAGCATTATATGTCAGAAACAAAATTCTTCAAAATGAGGACAATGTTATTGGGATATTGATTGACTCAGACATTGGCTTTCAGGAAAAAAATGGCTAAATGTGTCAATGATTCCACCAATAAAGGATAGACTTGTACAATTTTTACATCAGATATGAAAACATTTCTGCACAAAATCCAGAATGTATTGTCGAAGGCTTTCATGGCCGGAATCACTCAGTTCTTGTGGGTTTTTTCGGGCTATATGGCCATGTTCTAGAGGCATTTCTCTTGACGTTTCGCCTGCATCTATGGCAAGCTTCCTCAGAGGTGAGGTCTCACCTCTGAGGAAGCTTGCCATAGATGCAGGCAAAACGTCAGGAGAAATGCCTCTAGAACATGGCCATATAGCCCGAAAAAACCCACAAGAACTGAGAAAATCCAGAATCTTACAGAATGTGATTTTTATTAGAAGAAAAATCCTTATATCTGTGTCTGCTCAAAAGACTTTATAATCATAACAGAGACAAATAATATACACATATGTATAATTATATAATAACAATGATATACATAACATAATAAAATAATAAGAAACACAAATGCATAGAAATGAAACCACTATGTTTGTCTGTTTGCTCTTTTGTCTTTCTGTGTCTATGTCCTGTATGTTGTCCTCTTTTTTATTATTGTAATAATAAAATATAATAAATAAAAGAAAAGAAAAGAAATGAAACCACTATCTTCCAAGTGAATTGCTGCTGTTATTTTTGTACATTTTTGTGAAATACATACCACTGGGGGACACAATTACTGGCTGAAGTAACCTTTGCTCTCCTCCTGGGGGTAAATTCAATGCAATGACCAAGACTGTGCCCAAAGTCGTCCCAACCCATAAGCATGGTGAAGGTGCTGTGTCAGCTTTTCGTGTGAAAGTCTCACAGAAGTGAAGAGCTGAAATTGCTTCCCGTGATTCCTTATCAATGCTTGTTACGCTAGAACTCCTGGAACGGCTGAATGAGTTGTCTTTAACATCTGAAAGATTTTATATTAATTAAATTCACTGCCAAAGCAGCCAACCTTTCCTTTTAAATATTCAAAATATGTTAAACACTTCACTTAAATGACATCTCTAAAATTCAGTTCAAGAATATTAGGTCAATTTCACAGACTACATGTTTAGATGAACACTTAAGACTTTGAAACTGCACATTTAAAGACACAGTGTGAATGAGAGAAATGTGTTTGGAAATACAGATGAATATTCATGAGAGAGCTAACACTGACTGCAGCTGCTTGTCAAGTTCAGACAATAGTGAACAATAAATAATGACTCCTAGCATATGTTATGCTTTAGATTATATTACATTTATCTTTTTTTTAGACAGGACAAAACACAGCTAAGATTAGGTAACAGCTTTTTCCCCAAAGGAGATAATTTAATATTGTATGTTGCATCCTTTCAGAATTCTTCTATCATTTTCCATCTGACTGGTGATACTGGATGCTATGACCTATACCGGAGAACTGTATAAACTCTATCACACACACACACACACACACACACACACACCAAGTTCATGCACACCAAATAATTAATCTCCATTTTAGTTCAGACAATAGGTACTCGTATGTGTTTTGTTTGCCTACTTAATCTAGGTTTAAAACAAAGAATCAATTTGCTGATAAATGTTGCAAAGATAATTATTTTAGTATTTATTAATATTTGCTAATTTAATTTATTTTAAATATTTTTATCCTTGTTACCTGGTCAAAATTGACAGTTTACTTAATTAAATATATACCTTTACAGCCCAATAATCTACATGTACAGAAAAGTATAGTGGCTGCGTTAGAGTAGGATAATTATTTCTATATAACATAAGGAATAAAATCATTTTAGTGTTTATATAGTATAAAGAGGAAAAAATCAATGATGAAATTTCGTAATTCAGAAAACCATCTACTTTCCAGCAAGATCATATCATGTACTCATTGGATAGGCATATCACTGATGATGTTTTCAATGGATACTGCTGAGTTGTTTTAAAAATATGTTCAAACTGTGGTTTTTAATGTGTTCTCAAAATCAAAACTTTTAAATTGTATTATATATGGCCTTTGCTATAAAAATTATTAGACACTTCTAAGTTTCATAAACAGTGTCCCTATATTAGGAGAGTTGAGGAAAATAAAGTAAATAATAATAAATAAATAAACACTTTGAAAATTAATAATAGTAAATAAACATTGTGCTATACTGTAATTCCCAAAATCCGTGACAAGGCAGTACTCATATACCTTGAAAGGACCTAAGGTGTAGCTTGAAAAACATGTCACCCTCTTCATTGAGTACATCACTAAAGCAAAGCAAAAAAACAAAAACAAACCAAAAACCTCCCACAAATCCTTGTTCCTACACCATGTACTATTGAATTAACAATGGGACCATACTAAGCATGAGCAAGAACATGGGATTTCCCTCTATGTTAAAAAATATCATTTAGATTTAACATCCACTTTTAAAAATAAACTCTGTAATTCCTGACCAATTAAATTGCATTATTGATTATAATATCAATTTGATCAAAGGCATGCTTGCTTCAAAATTGAACTTTTAACATACTGGATTTAGCCTTTTAGTTTCTATGTTTATTATCTGTGTGCTTTATAGAGTAAGAATACAGAATATAGCATTCACTCAGGCACAGTTAAAGAAAGCAGTATACTTGAATACAATAATTCAAAATGAGGTTTAAAACAGCTTAGCTCACTGTCCTCCTAATACATGTACATGAATTGATTTTTCGGGAGTTGGTTGTCCAGTCAAATGCTGTCTTGTCTTAAACTAGATTCCCATTGATCTAAAAAAAACTATTGGTCTCAATACTGAAGCTGAGATCTTAAAAACAATCAACTACTTCCATAAGGTAAAGGTTGTGGTAGCTGTTGCTTTGCCTTCAAGGTGTTTTTGGCTTATGGCAATCTCAAGATGAACCTATTACAAGGATTTCCTGGTAAGATTTGGTCAAAGATACATTTCCCTGACGCTGAGGGAGTGTGACTTGCCCAAGATCACTTAGTGGGTTTCATGGCTGAAAGGGAATTCGAATCTTGGTTTCCAGAGTCACAGACCAACACTTAAAACTGCTGCACCATGCTGGCTCTCACAAGGCTGCTATAGATGTATTTCTAGAATTGCATTTTGTGCCCTCCTCCAGACAAGGAGTGTCAAAGAAAGCAGTTTTAAACCTAAATTTGTTAAATAGTTTATATATTAATGTGATAACACACCACTGTTTGCAAATAGCACAAAAAGGTTCCAGTGTTCTCTAGGCAGTTGTTCACTGAAGATATACTCTACTTGAATTAAGATTCTACTCAATTAATAGATTTTTTGATGTTTATTATGAACTTTTAGCACCAGCCTACTTTCAGTCATATTCTATTTATTTCTATTTATTTCTGAGTTTATGAGTGCCCTACATTTTGTCCAAATCACTTAAGGCAATACACATAATTCTCTCCCCATTGCTTTATCTTCATAATGTTGTGAATAAACCAGAGTAACTGTTGTATTTAATGTTACACAGTGAGCTTTATGCGATAATCTGGAGAAGAACCCAGATCTACACATATTTGATGTGATGCTCTAATCAATTCATTGGATTGGCTTCTACACATTTGCACGGAATTTCCATAGATGATGTGTGTATGTGTATGTCTTCTCAAAGATCTATGAATATACACTTTCTGTGGTCACACTTCCATGTCTTCTAAGAGGAATTAGAAGTAGTTCCAGCCAGGAGAGAAACATTTGACAGACACGCACTGCATATCCACCAAATATTGGTATTTAAGGCAAATAGACATCTTTGTTCTTTCTTAGAAGGTAAAGCGTCAAGCTGGTATTTTGTGTATGTCTTCGCTCATAGCCTTTTAAAAGATTATAAACATCATTAGTATAGGCTTTGAACAAATACTTACCTAACTCAGGTTTCAGTTCAGTTGGTAAGCTTAATTTTCTAGACATCTTTGCTGAAAAATAATGTATAGTTTTTATAATAAAGCTAGATCGATCACATTTTAAAAGAGTATATGAAAGAATTAAAACTCAAGTCTTCAAATTAAGAATTCATATACAATACTTTTATGCAAGGAAGGTAAGCAAATTTATACATATATTTATAGTAAGTTTTAATTTCAAGTGTACAATGCGAGTATGACAATTTCTTCGAAATTTTGATTAGAAACATTATTTTTAAGATTTGTAGCTTCATTACTATCTTCATGATGGTATATTAAACCTATAATTCTGTATGAGTTTCCCCCAAACTAGAATCCTAATTAGAAAAGTTTAGGAAGTCAACAAGTAACCAAGAATTTTTAACCATCTTTCCAACTGCCTTTGTTATGCATTGGAATACTGATGGCACAGAAAATTTCCAGGAGGTTGAGACACAAAAAATGGTATTCCAAGGGGGAAAAAATAAATTCATAACACAATTAAATGTATAGATGACAAACTATGCTTCTGGAGAAGACTGCTCTCCTTGCCTCACTATAAAGTCCAAGGCAGCTAAATACATCACTACAATGGGGAAGGAAGAGAGAAGTTCCATCAAGTAGAACTGTCAAGCACAGGGATAAGACATTTTGCAGGAGCAACCCTGACTTTCTGAACTGGAAATTACTATTGCTCCTAAATTCATAGGGGTGATACTTTCAAGAAGAGCTTGTTCCTCGCCTCATTACTAAGGGCAAGATACAACTGGAGTAAACTGTGTATATATTTCTGTTCCTTGATCTGGAATGGTAGATCTAATTGTGGAAGCCCACTCTTGCTCTTTGGGTAAAGTATTTATTCTTACATACCAGTAAAACCCATTTTGTGATATTTAAATCTTTTCAAGAACTTTATGTCGAAAAGCAATATATAAATATCTTAAAGAAATAAATGGAGTTTATTTTTTGGGTATGAGTGAAGCGCTCAGCTTATTTCAGCTGCATTTTACTCTCATTTATGCTTTATTTAGGTTTTAGGCTACTCTTTTAGAGTTTATTTTATTGTTTTATGAGTGACAAAAGATTCTATTATTTGTTTGCTGATTTTAATTTTACTCATTGAGAAGATAAGGTGTGAGAGTAAATATACAATCTATTATTTTAGTAGGTTAATTCTTATTTATAAATATAACTATATGAGTTAGAGAAAATGTTTTTAATGGTGTGTGTTTATTCCTATTTTTTAAGTATCATTTTTATTGACTTGGATCACACTCAAGACCTTACAGCCATAGAGAAGACAGAAACACTGACAGAACGCACACAAGTAAAATGTGAACCTGTAAACAGTTTACAAAGTAAGAGTAAAATTTCAGTGAGCACTGGACATCTGAACATAGGAAACTGCTAAACGCATTAGTAGTGAAATATTTGAAGCAAACTTCAAGTAAACAAAATCCACTCTGCACCCATTATTATGAAGTAGTCAAGCAAAACCAGCCAACAGCTTGCAAACAAATTGGTGAGGGTCAGACAAGTCCACTCTAGGAGATTCAAAGCCTGGAAGTACCAGTATGCTATGTATGGTAGTGGTATTTCCTACGTAAGTCAACCTATTGTGAAATAAGGTAGCAACCTGCTATACACCAATGTTCAGATCTAATGGAAGAGAAAAGTGACATGACCTTTTTAATGGCATCACTCACTATTTAATAATGTAATGCATAATGCTCAGAACCACCTGCTTAAAATGCAATTGAATAAAACAAAGATGTCACCCAAAGAATCTGGTATTGAATTTTATGAAGTCAATAAGGATTCAAAATTACGATTAAGGCATCTGACAACAACACATGAAATGGAAGAAAAAACTGAAACAACCACTTCCCAGGAATTGCACACTTACAAGTTTGTTGTAATTGTTGTGTGCCTTCAAGACTTTTTTGAAACTATCATGGGTTTCTTAGAAAGATTTGATCAGAGCCTTTGCCTTCCTATGAGACAAAGAGTGTGACTTGCCGAAGATCACTCAGTTTATTTTCACTTCAACCCTAGTCTCCAAAGCTATAAACTACTGAAAACATTTACTACAGAAATGGTAGCAAATAGCATGCATCCCACATGGGATATTTTTCACAGTAGCTCATGGATAAAGTCATATATCAGAATTTCTGAATGCACAATAGCTATACTGCAGTCAAAATTGAGAAGCACACAGGTAACTGCTTAGAGGTTGCACCATTTGCCAGTTTTGCTTTTCTTTATCTGTTCGGCAGAGCTTGTGATATTCCAAGACAAACACAGCTCTTCATCTTTCCTCTTAGAACTAAGAGGCAAAATGCTTTAGCCAAACATAAAGGCTTTTGGAGAGGCACCTCTTTAACCTAGGAAAGTATGAGGAAATCTCAGTAATGGCTTCCTCTTTCCTCCTTTCTAACGCTTCTCCATAGGCAAGGAACTGTGAAAAAGGAACTTGGCAGTCTTTGTAAGGTCCTCGGGGAGGGCAATCTACTCCCCTGAAACTCAAAAATTACTTATATCTACAGCAAAGCCATTTATTTAACCCTGGTGGACAGGGAAATGTATATTTTAAAATGAGTAAGTAAATAATTCAGTCATTTGTGCTGCCACAGTGCGTCATTTCAAAAAAGGTGAATTTGGGTAGAGAGAAAACGTTGAACAATTTAGAGGAGGTTAATTAACTGGGCAGTTAAATAAGGACATAAGAGATAACAATTACACATACGGGCAACAGTACTTGATCTTATCCAAAGTAGCTTGGATGTGTTTCCCAATGTCTTGATGCAACGTATGATAAGTACCTACAACTGAATTTGCTATACTTGAGCCAAAGATCTGGAAATATGGCAACAAAGAGAGCTTGACACAGCTTTCTAAAGTGAGACTATACTTTACTGTCCCAATAAAGTTTTGATTGGAGATGTTTTTAAATCCATTAAGACAAATTTGATAAAGAAAATTAATATTTGTCTATAGCTGACAAAATGTTCATGACTCCTTCCTTTTTCTGTGAAGGCATGCTTACTCTTTACATACAAAATAGCTAATATCGTTGGATCAAGAAAGAAAACTACTGAGAGGTGTACACAGTCAAACACACTACAGTCAATCAACAAAGCATAATCTTTCTGTTTCCTAGTACCACCATATAAAAACTTATTGGAATCTTATCCCAGGGGTTACTGGTGGAATAATCTGTAATCCACTGTGCCAATGCACTTCGCTGCCAAAACATCCACATTGGTCCAACACAGATGGCATGATTGGAACAGAAGTTTAGCAAGATATTGCTCTTCCTTAGCACAATAAGAAATACAAATGCTGCTCAGTGTTCTTAAGATTCTTGTTAAGTGAAAATGAGAAACTTCAATCAAAATTTTAATTGAAAAATGGATTCATAGAATCATAGAATAAGAGAGTTGGAAGAGACCACATGGGCCATCTAGTCCAACCACCTGCCATGCAGGAAAAACACAAAGTACCCCTGGCAGATGGCCATCTAGCCTCTGCTTAAAAGCGTCCAAGGAAGGAGCTTCCACCACAATCTGAGGCATTATGGTATTTAGCTAGTAGTAAAATAAATTTGTTGCCATTCAACTTGTACCATGGATTATCTGATGGGAGACACTGATGTATATGTCATAGGCTGGTATAATGCAGTAACATAGCCACAGCAGGAAGCAGTGTATGTCCCCATCTCCATTTTTATCGGAACATGATAACTGTTGAGCTAGATAAGAAAAAAAGGTTGACCTTGCTCAGTGCCCTATAGGTCTAACATGGCAACACAGTTTCTTAGAATAAAGGAGATTATAAGCAAGAAAAGATGGCAACATGCATCTTCATCTACAGTAGTTAGTGAATATCATATCTGAAAGTAGAATGTACATTTTGGGTTATGTTAGCACGTATTGAATAAGCCTGTGGAGTCTTTTGCATTCTTTTCATCAACATATATGCATTAGGTAAGTTGGTTATTTTTACATTGTAAAATGCTTCCTTTCATTAAGAACCTGCAGATTATTTGTTTCAGTAGAAAACAATTTTGTGAAAATAATTTTCCACTCACTTTCTGCTACTAAGACAAAACAAAATGTGCCATATTAATGGAAATTATTTTCACGTAAGTAGCTTCTGGCTTTAGCTCAATTCATACCAGTGTGGGATGATGTAACCTCCTATTATAGCTTCTTTAAAGTAGCATCCTTTTCTGCTTTGCTAACAATTAAATCACAAAAATACAAGAAAGGGCATCCTCTATGCCAAATTATCATGGGAGCTAGTGATGATGACATAGGAAATGTGACTCAATCATTCTGCAAAATTCACTTTTTCAGCCTTACTAGAACAGCATGGGATCCAGTATAAGAAAACAGCAATTGTACTGCTAAGACTATGTATGAATCTGTATTTATTTAGATCATTTATACCCCATCCTTCTCAACCTCCAAGGAGGGACTCAGGGTGGCTTCCAAACATGCAACAATTCAGTGCCAAACATAATATAAAGCATAGTAAAATACAACCATATACATTAAAATAGCTATAAAATATGCATTAAAACAGTATTGTGCAAACTATCTTAGAACGATGAAGTTACCAATGACAAAAGGTATTAAGTAAGCGATCTGGCTTATTGTTAAAACTCTGTATTATCCACTGTGGATTTATCCAGTTCTGTTAGGATGGTTACCCATTTATTCTGTTAGCCAGGTTTGCAAATATATTTTTTCAAGCACGTAATGTATTGCAAATATCAGCTTAATCTTCCTACCAAATTTTAATTTCAGATAAGGACCAATGAAAAGAAAGCATTTATATTACATGTTGACTCCTTTGCAAACTTCAGATTACAAGGTCAAATTGATTGTTTTGTCACATTCACAACCAAACACATAAAATTTTGTTAGATGCTTTGAAAATGGTGGTAAATTGAGGAAGTCAGGAAAAAAGCGCAGTTAAATCATCAATTTATTGGATAACATGCTGCGAAAAGGCAAATTTAGAATGGAGATAAGCAATTACCTGATATAAATAACATTCCTACATAGAATGAATTAAATCTGAATATAAATAATCAGAAAGTGAATGATAAACACTCAAATTGTTCCTATATATGTGGATATAGGATTGTATTTAAACAGATGAACAATATATTTTCCAAATTATATCCCCAAATAAAAGTGAAACATGATGATCATAGCCAAGCAGGAAGGCATTCTTTACTATTCCATGTGTTAATCCACCATCCACCGTATTTATGTTCTTATGAGAAGAGTTCAATCCACCTTATGCATATACTGCAGATGTTACAAAATGTTTTCAACTTACTGTTTACCAATATAGAACCAGATATACAAAAATGTGACTTTTTTCTAAATAAGGAAGAATTCTCTCATTCATCTGAGCAAAAACCAGTAATGCAGAATAAACATTAAGGCGGAGTGGACATATTTTTCCAACTCTGCTTTAAAAACTTGGAAGACCTGTGTTACAATTGTGCAGTACTGCTTACAGGATTGAACCCTTTTAATGTTTCTAAGCAGAATCCAAAACCTTTGGAGGAAGATGTAGATATATAAATGGACAAAATTAAAACTACAGTATCACTGATCATGTTAAGCATTGAGCACAGTATATTAGAAAACAAGCAGCCCAAAAGAACACCTTTTATGTTAGGATTAAACAAATAATGCAATTCACCTTGTGTTGTTTTACTGCATAGCCAAGAATAAGAGTAAGGTACTAGGAAAGGAGCAAAGGATAGTTTGTTCTAGTTCCTACCTATATCACTGGCTACCATCTTGGAAAACTTTCTGCTTTTGGTTTTCACTGCAAATAATATTTTGATACAAAATGTCAATTTACTAAAAAAAAAGATGAGCTGATGAAAGGAATGATAATACTCTTAAAAATAAAAATACTATACCCTTTTCTATAAAATTATTCAATGTTTGATCCTCATCAGAATTGATGGGAGAACCAGAACCTACATGAGTGAAGACAAGAATGAAAGGCACATACACATGGATATTCACAACAAAGGATGCATACAAAACAGTTATGACAGCCTGCAAAATTAAGAGGAAACACTATTGAAATCTACATCTTCAACTACCACTTTTTAAAAACAATTAGAGCTGATATGAGGACAGACAGAAAAAACCCCTTGACTCTCCCATTTTCTAGTAACATTTCTAGTCAAGGCAGAACTGCATACCTGAAAGAAAAATGCAGGTAGTACATATCTATTCATAACAAGAGTAGGCAGAAGGGAAATATAGTCTGACAGGGAAGCAGCATTCATATTAGCAAAAATATCCACAACAGAAGGAAATATAATTCACATTTTAAATTCCATTTGAGGCATGTGTTGTCAGTAAAATTCAGAATCAAAAGGCACAGTATTGCTAGGGTCCAAAGTGTGCTCATTATGCCTACACTGAAGGTTTACTTCGATAGTGGCAAAGTGCTATTCCATCTGAAACAGAATGGGTCTGAAGTATGGTAATTGACATATATTACAGATGAAAACCAGCAAAAACATGGTAAACGGAAAAGTATTTCTGGTAGCTGATTTCCCCAGCCTCATGTTCCATCTGATGGTCAAAGAACTGAAGAGCTGACAGGAATTGATTAGGAAAGTTTGTAAGGTACTATGAATAAGAAATAGATTTTTATTTTTCAAGTCAAACCATATGTATGCTATGTACGTAGGCAGCATACCTCTTATCATTCATACTAGAGATAAACAAGAGGAATAGCTATTTCTATCTTGCTTTGCTTATCAGACTTTCAGAGCCGTTTGCATGCTCAGTGTCAAGAGATAAGCATGCTGGATGAAATGCATTCCCAGCATGACCCAACTAAGGCTATTCTTACATTAATAACAGGGAAGCAAGAACTGCTATTTTCAACACTGTGACTTACTATTACCAATCTTAATTTTATCAATATGAAAACCAACTACGGCTACAGATTTTTATATCTTACACCTTATAACTGAAAAAACTAAAAATGAACACAGAGTTTGCAGTACTATTTCAATTGATAGCAGAAAGATTCCAAATGTTTTCCTATGAATAATTTACTTACTAGTAAAATGTATTGCAAAAGAATATTTCCCAATAGTGATCTTGAACTACTACCTCTTCTGGTTAAGCACAGTGAAGTGATGTGATTCCAATCTCGGTTGCATTTTAACTAGGCTCAGGAAGGTAAGGTCCTCATATTTTCACAAAAAAATAGAAAATAGCTAGATTTATTACTATTTAAATGGGGCATAAATAATCTGATCTCCCCTCACATGTGTTGTAAGCAGCCAACAACCCCTCCTTTCAGCAGTAAGAGTAGGGGGAATTGTTATCCTTTGAAGTCCCTAGGCCTCAGGCAGTACAGGGATGGCAGCAACAACACTTTACTTCATTTCCATGTAGTATTGGAACACCCACTACAGCCAATGGATGAGTATTCTTTGCTAGATCTAGGTAAAACATGGCCAGGGATGACCTCAAGAGACATCCCATTTTAATGAAAAAACCAAACTTTTCATCCTAAACCAAACAAGACTGAACATGTCTTCACTGTTTTCTCTGCAGTATCAAGCCTATTCATTTTGCAACAACATATAAATAGTAATACCTGCAATAAAAGCAGCATGATGTTCTTCTCTATAAAATAACTTTGACAAACAAAATGTTCTTGCAATTCTAGCAACAATATAAATTGGGCTTTGTGAGAAAATAAGCACCAGACTAAACTGCAAACTAGTTTATGAAGTGTTAGTGCTAGATCAATTAGTTTGAATTAGAGTGACAGAACATAATTGATTTTCAGTATTTAGAAAATATTCACCTTGATTAACTCATAGTTCATGTGGTTGAAGATGACTGCATGAAGTTTCTGAGACCTATATTTCTATTGTGAATAATCTCTTCTTGAAACTGACAGATCAAGGGAATTAAAACATTTTCCCCTTATATTGAAAATTTCCATTGCCAATGCCGTCTATACACTGTAAATAATGATAAATATATAAGAGCGGATAAGTGAGTGGATCCGGCTTTAGGGCAAATTTCAAGCCAACAACAAAATATTCACCTGATAAAGAAATATTCGTAGGCTTGTGTACTAGAACGGGGTATACAGAAAAACACTGTCAGAGTAAGTGGTGTCTTAGAAATACATCTTCTATGCAAACTCTAAAGCAGAGAAATCTCTGAGTGATTTGAAGCATTATTTAATATCACAGTCTTTACAAGAACGAATAATTACCTGATGTGGGTGACTTGCAGCGATCCTCTTGTACTGTTGTACCTTCATTAATATCACAAAGACCAGCTGTGAAATATAAAGTACATTTTCAAATTTCAAACAGGTCAGTTTACATGTTCTAATGCTGCACAAAAGTCCCAATACACTCACACATTCCAAGAGGGGAATAACTGATTCTTTTAACTACTAGTCTAAATTCGTAAGCTATAGGGGAAAAAAAACCACTTTGATTCATTTCCCATATTTTCAACCATAACTCCAATGTTTTCTGACTATTGCCTATGTGAGCTGTAACTGATAATCAATGTAAGGGCACCTACTCGCCTACTTATTTGCTGTACTTTTACAGTGTAAATTTAGAAAAAAAGTTGATAATGAAGACACAGGGAAAGAAAATATATATCTGCACAAACAGTATTTTTAACTGCAGAGTTTTAAAATGTGTCATCCCTATATAAGTGTAAGTGGACTAGTTTGTACTAAGAAAGAGACACACTCATTATATTAAATAAATTTAAGTATCAAACCACTACATTAAAATTAAGCAATAAAAATTTATAAAGATCTATACATGAAAGACTGATACAGACTCACAAATACACTGTAAATTAAGAAACACTGTAGTCTTGCAACTATAATATAAGAACAGGTATGAAATAGGTATATAACCTAAAAGAAAAATGCAGTGGCTACTTCAATGGACTATAAAAACATTGCAGTTTTTACTGAAGCTTTCCTTTCAGCATAACAACCAACCCATGCCAATGGCAAATCAATTTCTGTGACTTCAAGTCGCCAGTCAACATGAATTTCATTGGGTTTCCTTATACAAGGAATACTCAAGACATAGTTCTGCTAGTTACTTCTTCTAAAATATAGCCTATAGCACCTGATATTTGCTGTTGGTATCCCATCCAAGCCTTTACCAGATCTGACTCTGATAACAACTTCCAAAATCAGATCTGAGATCAGGAACACAATAACAACTAAACTAGTAACAATGATTTCATGGTATCTCATACTAAGTACATGTTCAGTGGAAGGCATGGTTTATTAAATAAATAACATGCTCATTATATCATTAGTGTTATAGTGATAACTGGGGGACAAACATTATCAAAGAAGTGTCTCAATTCTGGTAATGTTACAGCTTTCCCACATACATTCAGCATTACCATGAAGACTATGACCAGATCTCTTTTCTTATTTTAACTGCAACTCTCACAACAGCACCAAGTACTGTATTTGTGAAAATTCAGCAAAAACTGTTCAACTATGGGCAATATATTTCTGTTCAAGTATACCTTTAACTCTGTAATTCACAATGGTTTGTGTTTGAAGACTAAAGAGGACTAGGTAAACCACTGTTATGAACTCATGAAAATCTGTGCCAGTGCAAGGAATGTTGAGGTCAAAATTCCCTTGCAGAAGAAGAATCAACAAAGCAAAAGCTTCTGAGAGAAGAAAAATCACAAGGAGGCAATTTGCGTTGGGGTGAGTGGACACATACACCCTTGATCTCAGTTGCTACCTCATATTTTACTTCGAACATACACAACTGAGTTCAGGAACACAAACTTTTGCTTGCCATAAGGTCTGGGGGGTGCTCTCTTAATTACTTTTGATATGATCTTAATAAAATTAACTAACCAACTAGAATAATAAAAGGAAGCAGATGGTTTAGATATCTTTTCTATACAGAGATCTCTGCCACTTGTTACAATATGTTAGATCTCTGTGCATTTCTGTACAGCTCTGTGGATTTTTATACTGCTTCACAATTAAATAGAGAACAGCCAATGATTACATTTCCTCTTGGAACAGCTAGGACACAAGAAGCTGTATTTGGACAGCACACTGCCTAATATTGGATAATTTTGTTTCCCTGGTGCCACCATTTGCAATTCCACCTTTTATAGTACTTGTCTATCTACAAATGCATCTTGAAAAGCATTCAGTTCTCTTTTCTAAAACTGTATAAAAAATAAGTGAAATGTGCTTTGAAAAATCATCACAAGTACTATAGTTGACCTCTCTTTTGAACATAAAGGTAAAGTGAGATGAACATTTGACAAGCATGTGATTGATAGTAATTACTTGGCAGCCCTCAAAGATGGAATAAAATGTATGATTCTAAGTTATGCCAAGCATTCTCACACATACAGTTGAGTTTCAGAACCAAACTCCCACAACACATACACCCATCGGTAAGTTAGGCGGTTTGCAAGAACAACCACTGATTAAGAGCAACAACAACGTATAGCAATCCTGGTAGTCAATAATGTTTAAGTGTAACCATGGATCTCCAACACTGCAAGAAGCATACTTTTGTTTGCAAGAATGAAGTAGAGGAGGACGAGGAAGAAGATGAATTACGATTGAGCAGGTTATACAGTGTCAGAAACGTCTGGCTTGCATATGGTTCTGCAGCATATGTATCTCCAGTTAATCTGTATAGGCCTGATATATAGAGTTTCAATCAGTAGACTAAGACAGCATTTAGTAGTCTTTTAAAAATAATGTTAATGCAATTAGACTTATATGTTCTGCTGGAGTGATCCCTTCAAAACTTAAGGAACCCTGCATTCCTTATATGGCATAAGTACTTCATGCTACTATTTCTTAACAAGGACTGGGTATGCTTCATAATTGCATAAAAATAAGTAAGGTGAATGTTGTATTGGATTCAGCAAAAGATGAGAAGAGTTAATTCTTTTCCTCTTTCAAAGCAAACACATTTTTGGCTGTAATAGTTGCAAAACCTGGATTGAAAAATGTGGGGGACAACTTCAGAAGTAGATCTGGAACTGATTCCTAATTACTGTTTCTGATGACTGCAAGCATCAAAATAAATTCAGCAAAAACGGCATCTAGATTTGTTGGGTTGAGAGTCAACATTTAAAACTATCCTAAGGGGTAGCAAGTGTTCCCAAAAACCAGCTTCTTAATTTGCTTGAAATTTATCTTAATCAGCAGTGTATATATTTCTGCTGCTCCTACAACTTCCAAAGGTACTCATACTCTAAACTCTTTGCCTAATAATAGATAATCAAGTTAAACCTAAATAATCTACAAGAAATGTAGTGAAGGATTGCGAAGCACAACTAAGTATAGACAAGTTTGTGACCAACACAACATCTGTGCTGAAGGCTTCATAAAAGTATAAAAGAGCCATATCCTTTTAGAGAAATATTACCTCACAGTGCTGTAAAACTGTGGGAAAGTTCTAGGCCAAGATCAACACAGATGTGAAAAAAGAGATGCTAGTTATCCTTTCAGCATAAGATGATTTTGATGCCCATTAACAACTTCCAAGTAGATGCTGGTCTTATGTCAGAGATAGCTGGACCAATCCTGATGATAAGTTTCCCTCACTTAACTGTTTGCTGACTATAAAGATGATAGGCACGTTCTAGTGTTATGTGCACCTGACCAAAACTTTGGCTCTTGTGCTCCCCTCAAACCTACCTCTTTTTCATCATACAGTTAGCAAGACTTTGTTGTCATTTCGTCTTTTGTTCCCCTAACGATCTTGTTTTAGTCAAATTCTGGTTAAATAAGCTATCAACTTCTTAGTTTGCTTTATTTAGCAACCAGAGCCTGTTTTGAGTCAATGCATGTTCGAACAATAATAAATGAGCATTGGTGAAAAACTTGCAAAAGTGTTTGAAATTCTTTTGTAGTGCTGTTGTTCTAAGAAGATGTTGGAAAATTTATTGGTTTATGATTCTAATATATTGTCAAAAGCAGGCAGGGAAAGAGTTAAAAACAAAGATAAGAAAGGTTTAGGTTTTAGTTAGTGTTCTTCGCTTAAGGCTTTTTTATTTTTAAAAAGTTTCTGTCATTTGTTAGTTTTTGTGATGTTTTATATAAATGAAATGCTCTGAGCTGCTCTGACTGATACATAACGTATGATGCTTACTGACATGACCTGAATCTACCTGCTGTTAAATGACCAAGGGAGCTGCCCCCAGGGTCTCAGCTTTTAGCCTTATAATCTCAATATTGGGGTGATTGGCACAGCCAATCATTGATCCAAAATCTGAAGAGTCACAACCCCCCCCCCCTTTACACCTGTTATGGATTCAGGCACAGTGCTTTTAGCACATGCAATGTTATAAAATATATTTATTCATTTTATTAATATAAATATGTGTATTTTGCCCTGAACTCAAAGATCCCAGGCTGCTTGCAATAAAATCAATTACATTTAAAAAATACTAAAGTTTTTAAACATTAAAATATACTTGTTTCTTAATTAAAACAGACAATTTAAAACTGGTTAAAAACAGGTAAGTGCAATTAAAAGGGCCTTCTCAGTGACGGCCCCTCACCTGTGGACCTCTCTACCCTGTGACATTCGATTGGCTCCCTCTCTCTTGTTCTTAGAATGAAACTCAAAGTCTGGTTATGGGACCACGTGTTCAAACAGTAGAGGCAGCAATTCAGAATGAGACCCAGTTTGTGTGAAAGACAATGGAATGATCTGGACTATGATTTCAAACCTGCCTGATTTAAACAAGGTTTTAGTAATATTACGTTTTAATTGCTTTTATCATTTATTACTGTTTTTGACATTGAATGAATGCCTGTTGTGAAGCCGCCCTGAGTCTCCCTCCGGGGGGTGAGAAGGACAGGATACAAATATGTGAAATAATAATAATAATAATAATAATAATAATAATAATAATAAAGAAGCAACACTGATATGACAACAGCAACCACTGAAACAAAATGCAAATGTGTGTAGAATTCCTTTGCAGACTTGTCTAAAGAGGAAAAAGTGCAATGAGATGAGTGGCTAAAAGTAGAAACTAACAATGACAACTGTGAAGATGTGTGTCAAGTTCCTTATTTATAGGTTTAGCTAACCAGAGAAAACAACAGAGATTAGTTATCTAGAAATCAACTGTACAGAAGACTAGATCCTGAGAGCAGAACCTGACCCCCAGTATGAATGGGTGGAAAGTTGTATCAGTAAGTTAATGATTGCAGAATTTCAGTAGCTCCACTCTCCATGAGAGATTAAATGAGAAGACCCTATAAGTGGAGACCCAAGGGTTTTTGTCTGTAATTGCTGTCCATTTCTTGTAACAATAGTATGCCAGATAACAGTATATCATTGCATAAAGCTTGTATTTTTCAATATAACAGTGATAAAAGCTAAACAGAAAAGGGCAAAGTAAAATACATTTCAGGATGTAGGAAAGCATATAACTTAAGCCAGATTACAAACACTTCATTGCTATGAGATGACTTACTTATATAAGAGGTGCGAAGTTGTTTCACAGACTCTGAATATAAGCTAGCAAGGCCACACATGCAAGAAGCCACAGCCAGCATGCCTTAATGAAGCAATGAGAAAGGAAACACAAAGACACCAACAAAGTATGTTCGGAGACAGAAAAATATGCTTTAAAAAACTTGTAGATTTGGAAAGGTTGCTACATATTTTCTTTTCATAACATTATTTTCCTCTAAACATTGCAATTCTATTCTCTAAGAGTCACAGAACACATTTTGGATTGCTTTCTGTACAAAAACATAACACTGCTTTGTCTGTGTTTCAGTTATTCCTCACTACAATTTACATAATGAGACAGGTTCCCATCGGACCTTGACCTGGCATGAATAAGCAAGGAATAGGTGCAAACTTTATTGTCATTCTTGCCTGTGGTCAGTGCAGCTAAACAACTACAGAGTTGTGCACTGCAGTTATTTATCATGCTACCTAGTCCCAGGTTGTTTCCCATATATTTGTTCTCTCCCAACAACTAGAGAAAGAAAATATGACTTAACCCATTTGTGCAGACACACCCAGAAAATAAACTTTAAAACATGAAAGAACCTTTTCGTTGATACTAATCACAAGAAATGAATGACAAAACAAATTCTTTTTGCAAGCTAAATATCTGATTCAATTAATTGTGGATGGTATTATTTTTAAATGAAGAATGCAGTTAATTGCTGCTAGTGTAGGTTAGTGTGCCTAGAAAAAACAGCTATGGAAAGGAGAGAGAACTAATTGCTATCTCTTCAAATAAATATAGGTAGCAAAATATAGACAATACTTCAGATACTGCAATTTAAATACAAAATTGTTTTGCAGCATTTCTCGGTGGTGGCTCCTCGGCTGTGGAACGCCCTTCCTACGGACATTAGACTAGCACCATCTCTAATGGTATTCCGCAAAAAGGTGAAGACCTGGATGTTTGTGCAGGCGTTTGAGTAATTTAGTGCAATCTGGTAATGGAACATAGGAATGGAACAATGGACGACGAACTTGGACTACGCTTGGATGATGAGAAGATTGGGTGGTTGTTTTTTGTAATAATTGTGCATTGTAATTGCTTATTGGTAATTTATGGATAATGTGTTAAGTCAATTGTTATATGTTGCATGGAACCACTGCTGTTTCTACTGTTTTTACTGTTTGTGAACCGCTGTGAGTCGCCTTCGGGCTTGAGATACAGCGGTATATAAGCAAAGTAAATAAGTAAATAAATAAATGTTATTTATATTTTTCATATGGAGTGATAAGTAAGATAGTATAAAATTTAACAGAATGGATTACTTCATAATACTGAAAACTAATATGATGCATTTACATTGAAATGTGTTTTTCCCCAAACAATTATACTCATTTTAAATTGGTGTCTGAATTAACATCATATCATTTACACCAAGTTCTAAATCCTACTGGCTGTTCAAAGTAAAGAAGACAAATAATATATGGAATTTTATAGGTGTTGAATCATCATTTAGCAGTTTACTCAATGGCACTAACTGGGGGCTACAAAATAGGATTCATGTATATAAGCCTCACCAGAATGAGGTGAAATGCCCATTCCTTCCTCTCCCACCTCCTTATTCTTGTTTTGAGCTTGGGAGAGAAGGAAACAGTGCATTAATTTCCAAACATCCCATTTCTTACCCACTCCATCAAAACAGTTCCCTTACTTGTCCTTTCTCTACCTTTTATCTCATCTGCTTAACCTCCTTTCTTTAGCTTACTGATTCTCACATGGGTCCCAGTAAATGTTCTGGGGTGAAGCACTTCAATATTCAGTTTCTTGGTGGACAGAGGAGGCTTTACACAGTTTCTACTAGAAAACACCAGAGGGCCAGCTAAAACTAAAGAATCCTTCCTTCCCACCTTGCAATCTTTCCTTGCTACCTACTGGTCTGAAATGTTTGGCCTTGGAATAAATTATCATATTCTAAGGATAATGTAAAATAAATTAAAATTACTAACTATAGTTATTTGCATTCATTAAAATAGCTTATGACAAAATTAAAAAATAATAACATATTCATTTATTATTATAATCCTCATCTGAATGGACAATTATATAAATTATTAACAGCATTGTTATAGATTAGTATTGCTCTGAAATTCTCTTAAATTGCTTTTTGGGAGGAAGATATTACTTTAGAGAAAAATAATTTTTCTAAATCTGCAAAATTGTACTTTGTGCTTATCAGTACTGAAAACTAACAAAATAAATAGAATAGTTGAAATACATGGAATCAGAAAGGGAAGACACAGGGTGGTGTGCATGTATGGGCCTTCAAGACATCTGACAACCTATGGCAGCCCCTACTGATTTCATACAGTTTTCTTAAGCAAGGCATGACCAGAGGTGGTTTTGCTGGTTCCTTCTTCTGAAACATGTCCTACAGTGATTGGAATTCTTTAACAGTTTCCCATCCAAGTACTGTACTACCTAGGTCTTACCCTGCTTAGCTTCCAAGACTCTGTCATCATTAGGGTATTTAGGCAGATATGTTGAATGATACAGTCAAGTAAGGACTTCAGAAGTCATTGTACAATGAATTGTGAAGCAGAATGCTAAAATACAGCAGATCTCCCCAATCTAGAGTTTTTCAGATGTTTTTTTACCGAGATGAGAGTCATGTAGTTCTGCAGCTATTACTTGACTGCAACTACTCACAGCACTAGCCAGTTTAGCCAGTAGTGATTATTGTGGGGAGTTGCATATGAACATCATCTGGCAGACTTCATGGTTTCCATCTGTTTACATCCTTCTGTATTTCTCAATGCTGATCATACTGGGTTGCACTGATGAACTGTCTAAAACATATACCAGGTGGGGATAAGCAATGCACCACCACTTCACCCAGTGATTAGCAGTGGACTGTGGAAGCCTTTACAGATTCTTGGAAACAATATTCTGTAAATTGATAAGTCTAAATACAGTTATTAATGCCAATTAGAAAAGGCCCGTTCAACCCATGAGTCTTGTTAAGTCAACATATGTATAAAACGAATTAATCATGTGGATTTATTCTTGTTAAGATTAACAACTAGTACAGAGGTGTTGATTTAATTGTTATCTTCAAGTAAAAGCTAGTTATCTGCATGCATCATCCATTTACAATCAGGCAAGTGGAAGAGCAGTACACTATTTCATTCATAAATATTTAGGGTTTAGTCTTACCTCCGGATGGTTGTCTACTTTTACGTGGAGATCGAGGTTCTCTCCTGTATGGATCATTAGAACCATATAACTCAACGGTGCCAAGATTTAAGAGTGTGGTCTTTTGGAGGTAATCAACCAATGCGATACCATTACAATTGCCAAAAACTACTCTGAAAGAAAATTTGTTGGGAAAAAAATGATTCCAATGAATGCTTGCTATTCAATCATATTCTTACATTATTCATTTATTTAATGAGAAGTGTATGATTTTCACTTGATGAATGTTAAATAACCCTCTGAAATGAAGGTTTATATTGTCAATGTATTTTAAAATACTTGATTGTGGGGGAAAAAATCTATATGACTTATAAAATATCCAAAGACACCAGACAATGCAAAAATGAAGAATGCCACTGCACACTTAACAACAAAATATGTAAAACTCTGAATCTGTTTGGATGAAAATAGAATATACAAATTTGTGCTTAGATCCATTTAATTTGCATTAGAAAAAAATAGAAATTGAAATAAAAACAGAGAGTTAATTACTATACATTTAAGGAGATGTGCTGTGGTAAGATGGGAAACCTTAATGTACAGTATTAATTTGAACAAAAAAAAAAAACCAATTGGAAAAGAGTCAAATTAAAAAGTGTTATTTTAACAAGTCTTCCATCTGTCCCCATTAAAATCTAAGCAACATAAAGAAGCTGTATGAATTAATGTCATTTTCAAGTTTAGTTTTGCATTTATTTGAATGTTTAAACTACAGATAAAACATGTTTCTAATCAGATATTTTAACTGAAAACATAGAGGTTTAACAGGTAAAGCTAAAATGGGCTATTTCACTTTTGTTTGCTAAACCTAATTCAAATACGTATGTTAAATCAGATATTGATTAAAGAAAATGTGAAAATATGCAATTATTGATTTCACGTTTCCCAGAAACCACATCACCATACTTTTATTCTTTTTAGTATATTCTTATGAATTAGTCAACCTCATTTATAAGTCCAGGGTAGTTTTGGGAGGCAAAACTATGGATTTTGCTATAACCATGGATCAGTCATACAAAAGGTGTATGTTACAATAAATCATTTCCTCCCCTTTAAAAACTGCATAGAGGGAATATACTTAGGAAGAGCTAAAGAGAAGGAGAGCATTTAATTATTTGACAAATAAACAGTTATAATGGGGGCCATAAGTTGCATTGTTGATCTTTAAAAGATCTATCTCTGTACAAGAAGAAAATATAAAGGAGAAAATTACGAGAATGCAGCCCGGAAAAAAGTGGGGGTAGAAGACAAAAGAAAGCAACCTATCCAGTCCAAAGACAGCATTTAAAGGAAGAAGCAAATAGACCTCTCAGCCCATTACTCTCCCTTGCCCAAACAACAGAAAGTAAGACAGTCTTCCTTCTTCTCTCCCTTGCCTTCTTTTTCAGAATGAGCTGCATTCAGTAGAAACACAAGGAAGCCTGAAGAATGCAGAGCATCCACCATTTTGATGCTTGAGGTGAAACTGAGTGGCAGCTGCCATTTTAATAGGACTTACTGCAAAAAAAATCTGCAGAGAAACTGCAGAAGCCATTTTTAATAGGGGCTTTTACAGTAGGTTCCTATTAGTTATGGCCACCTCAAGTGCCCAAAATTGTGGGTGCACTACATTTTTTGTGCTTTCCTACATTGCTGTTGAATGCTGTTTGGGTAAAAAAATGGGGAAGGAAGAAGGCTGCCCTTTTATTCCTAATCTGGGTAAGAGAGGGATAATGGGGTTGGAGTGCAGCTTCTACACTGTGCCAAGAGGGGCTTCTCACCTCTACTTCTTGTCAACGCATTCACACTGGATCCCTATTCCAGCCCTGACTTATGTATAAGTTGAATCATTTTTGGGAGTCAATTTGTAACTTCTTTAAACAACTTATACATAGAAACATAGAATCAAAAAGTTGGAAGAGACCTTATAGGCCATCCAGTCCAACCACCTGCCATGCAGGAAAAGCACAATCAAAGCTCCTGAACAGCTGGCCATCTGTTTAAAAGCCTCTAAGGAAGGAGCTTCCACCACACTCCGAGGTAGAGAGTTCCACTGCTGAACAGCTCTCATGGTCAGGAAGTTCTTCCTAATCTTCAGGTGGAATTTCCTTTCCTGTAATTTGAACTCATTGCTCTGAGTCCTAGTTTCCAGGACAGCAGAAAACAAGCCTGCTTCCTCTTTCTTATGGCATCCTTTCAACCATTGATACCTAGGAAAATGAGTTTAGTAAGGAGACGCTGATGGTCTATGTTTTTATTGGTTTTGTATGGTTTTTATATTATATGTTAAATATTTTAAATTGTATTTTATGTCTGCTGGGGCATCAAATTGTTGCCAAGTGTAAACCTCTTTTGAGTCGCCTTCGGGCTGAGAAAGGCGGAATACAAATACTGTAAGTAAGTAAGTAAGTAAATAAATAAATAAATAAATAAAAGTACCTTCTCACTATCCTCTCATTATTGGGTATATAAAGTAATTATAGTTTGTAATAATAAATTAACATTAATTCCACTTAGTCTTTTTCTCAAGCTATTTCTCCCTTTCAGAATACTTAAAAATTAATGTATTATATCAGGAAAATGCTAAGATTATTTAAATAGCCATTAAGTTTAAAATTGGATATTTATTGCTTTACAATTTGAGTTTCTCATGATATCATTTTTGAAGTAAGGCTACCCACAGCAATATTTTGCTATTTGTTCAATCTTTCTTTTGGAATGATATTTTATATTACTGCCACCTAAACACCAACAAATATACAATAAGAAAGTACTTCTTAGCAAAGTGCCATACACTATAAATATAGTTATGAGCATATTTTGAGTAGGTGTACAAAAGTCCCTGTTTTATAGCAAGCATGGGGATACATGCCAAGTTGAATCAAGGATCCAAGCTGCTTATGGCTGATGTCACATTGCTCCTGCAACAGGACAAAAGGCTTTCAGAAGTTAAGGTAAAAAAGTTATACTTACAAACCATAGGCAGAGTTGATTGCAAGGCTTGTTATTTGCTGAGGAGGTTCTCCACTCACCCATACTAGCTGAATAACCAGTTCAACCTGATAGCCTGGAGATTGTTTGAGGGGAGAATTTTTAACTCTGTAATATAAATGAAAGGTAGTTATGATATTGATCCTTGTGAAAGTTTGCCAAACTGACAAAAAGTTGTTAAACTTTATCAAATGGGGTATTTTTAATTTTTTATTAGTTATTACAAGTTAGTAAAAGTTTCTAAATATTTACTCTGGACTAAATATCCATTTTCACATATTGACAATATGCTAAGTGTATGTATACAGTCTTTATACTTGTCCCTCTGTCCTTTTGGATGTAACTACTTTACATTTCAACCATGGTTTATAGGCAAGCATAGGTTTGAGTGAACCATAAGTCATTGAATTCTGAGGAAATTCCAAACAATATTTTGCTGAGAATACAATTGTAAATACAACAGTCAGCACAGGTAAGCAAAGAGTGTTTCCCAGATGCATCTACTTCTTATAGTTCTATATGAAGATACAAGATTAACTAATGTAAACACTACATTGAAAACCTTACTATAGATGCTCTCATTTATTGGGATTTTCTGCCATTTATCAGGCATTATATGCTTCCAGTGAGGTTACTGTTCTGTTGTAGCAAAAACCAACAGTATCTTTTGGCATTTAATGACTAACATGCTTTATTTGGCATCATTCGTTTAGATATAGCAACACATTTCATCAGATGCATTTTTAAAAATTGTATCAATTGTAACAATAAAGCTGAGAGGTTAGCCAGCATTGTATTGCTCTGACTTGAGGATGTTTGTAGAGTAATTGAATGTAGACGATTCCAGATTATGAGCCACTACAGATTTGTTTCTGTGTGTGGGGTGGCAGTGTTGATTAAATTAATTCTGCTATCTTCCAAACCTCAGCAAAAAGGAACTAGTTGGCTCCACTCATTATATCACAGATGATCCAGACAGAAAAACCAGTATCTAACTTAATATAATTTATTCAGTGTGGGTATTATGGACATTATAAGAAGCAAAAAACCAAAACAAAACCAAAAAAACATGGTCAGACAAACAGAAGAAAATTAAAGAAATTTGAACTCAATTTAACAGATGATTAAAGGCTGTTAAACCAGATAATGAAAGCTGGAAGAAAAAAACCCCAGATAGAATGGAAAGAAGGCTCATGTAACAGGAAACAAAAGGATTAAGTTTTCAACAGGGAAGGGGGAGGGGTGGGTGTGAGGAGGGAGAAGGGACTGAAAAAGGAAAAATATGGTAATTTTGGTTGTGTATATTTAAAAAAAAAGAATAAAAAAACATTAAAATATAATTTATTCAGTGCCTAATTATAGTAAAATTTCAGTTAGGAACTTCAAGCTTCTAAGTCTTAACCACTGTCCACAATATGACAGAACAGGTTTTAGGAAATAAAGTACCGGTAACTAATAGCACAGAAAAAGAAGGTAGGGTGACAAATTTTAACTAAATTTTAGAAACTTCATGATCTTGTTCAAGTTATTCTCTGGAGTAAAATACACTAACATGAAACTTGTCCCTTGGATAAGATTGCTATATTCCTTTCTATTAACCTGCAATTAAAAATGTTTTAGGAATTAATGTTATGTCTTTCATCACCACAAAGTAGTCTGTGGCTTTCAGGTGATAAAAGGTGGGTTTGGTCTTGCAAATCCTGATCTATACTATAGAATCATTTATGGGATTTTTCATCCATACTGAACCTTCTATCTTGGGGTCTGATATAATCATCTTGCTTGGTGCCTCTTTCAAAATACTGGGATATAACAAGTTTGAATTTCATAGAGTTGAAAGTATTCTAAATTGTTTGCTCATAACTACTGTTATGAGCAGGAGTTATGAGAAATTATTCAGAGTGCTCTTTCAAATGTTAAAGTGTTCTGAGATCCTCAGCCCATCAAATAAGCAGGTATGGGCATTTCTCTAGTCAATGCTGCAGTATAGATATTATATACTATACCATTAGAAAGACCTTTTTATTACTCAATGGCCAGTGGACCTCAAAACCCTTTCTACATTTGTCCGGCTTAACAGACTGTTTGGGGGTTTATTTTGATATTTGGTTGTCTTTTCTAGAAGTATACATACATTTATTTATTTACATTAATTTGTTATTCTGATTTTAACAGATGTGTTTTAATTAACTGTTCAATTACTGTTTTTTAAATTTTAATGTATTGCTGATTGTTTTTATGATGCCGGCATCCGATTATGCTTTTGTGAGGCCTCCCTGAGTCCCCCTCGAGGGTGAGAAGGGCGGGGTAAAAGTATAGGAAATAAATAAATAAATTCTTCTATTTTCAGTTTTGTTCCATTTTTTTGTAATCCAAACCAAAACCTAACCTAACTGCAGACAGACAGATGGCAAAAATGTTATTTGCATAAATTTCTTTTTGAAAGATTGAGAAAGAACACACTGCTTTAGAAGAAAAGCTGAAGTCATACTGAAGTATAGATTAAACCAGTGGTTCTCAACCTGTGCATCCCCAGATGTTTTAGCCTTCAATTCCCAGAAATCCTAACAGCTGGAAACTCACTGGGATTTCTGGGAGTTGTAGGCCAAAACACCTGGGGACCTACAGGTTGAGAACCACTGCTTTAAACAAAAACTGTCCATTTTGCTCTACAAGTTTATCTTTGACTACATATATGAAAGGAAGCATTTTAGGTTAATTACAAAAAATGTTTAAAAATGCTAAGATGCAAGGTATGAAACATTTAAAATTGTTGATAAGTTGGCAAGCATTTATCAAAATATGCTATTTTATATGCTCTTGTTAAGTGACTGTACAATTACAGTGTATACCTTTCACAGCAATGCAAGCACAACATATGTGTCTTCTATTAGCTTATCATTATAGGACCATGATAATATTTTATACTGTATACTTAGGAGAAGCATAATGAACCATATCCAAGAGGAGTGCCTGTTAAAAGAAATTTATAGCTTTTGTACAAGCTGATGAAGTGGCGAATGAAAGCAGGATACAATATTGGGATACAAACTGCTGTTACACTTACTTTAAACATGGGACATTATCCCGGAGTCCGTCGGATGAGCTACTGCTAGTGGATGGGTGAGACTGGGGAGCAATAGACTGAGGATTGGAACCTGTTCCTGGAGTAGGCAGTGGGGGCAATTGCTCAGGATCTGGAGACTCTATATAATTTATTTCATACAATAGTCGTACTTCAAGCATCTGCAAAAAGAAAAAGACACCAAACAACTGCAACATGCAACTTTGTACCAAATGATCACTTCAAAACTAGACACTGGCAAGAATCATGTTACACATCATATCCCCGCAAACACAGCAGTCTCTCTACCTCAGCTTGCAGAGGTGGTTCCTATCTTGGTGTTGGTCTCTCAGTGACTAATAGTGCTAGGGGACTTTAATATCCATGCAGAGGCCACCTTATGTGGCGCAACTTGGGATTTCATGGTTGTCATGATGACCATGGGACTGTCCCAAGTGATATCTGGAAACACTTGGGACAGGACACACCTTAGACCTAGTGTTTGTAGTGAATGGAGGTGATGTCGATGTGGAAGAGCAAAAAATTATTCCATTGTCATGGGCCGACCATGTTAGACTAACTATTGCCTCCAACCTCCGCAGGGGTGGTGGACCGATTAATATGGTCTGTCCCAGGAGAGTTATGGATCCGGAAGGACTTCTGACGTCTCTTTCTGTCATGGCGGCTGACGATCCTGTCGAAACCCTGGTTGATCTCTATAACACCTTGATAGCCAAGGCATTAGACATGATCGCCCCGAACGTTCCCTCTCGTTGCACAGAGTTAATCTTACTCCTTGGTTCTCTGAGGAGTTGGCATTGATGAAGTGCATAAGATAGAGGCTAGAGTACCTTTGGCAGAAAACTCAGAGTGTCTCTGACTGAGTACGGGCTAGAGCCTCTATTAAGGCCTATTCTGTGACTTTGAGGGCCATCCAGGAAGACCTTCTCGACTGCCACCGTTGCATATGCAATAAATAGACCATCTGAGTTGTTTTGGGTTGTCGAGGAGCTCCTTCAGCCCTGCGGGGGAGAGGGGTCACCTGACAATCCAACTACTCGATGCAGCGATTTTGCACATCATTTTGCAAAGTCGCTCAGATACACTCCGACTTGAATGCCAATTTTCATGCAGTACCAGATGAGGTAACCAAGGCATCTGTTGGTCCAATCTTGTTGGATTCATTTCAGCTTGTGCAGCCTGATGACGTGGACAAGATCCTGGGAGTGGTAAGTGCAACCCACATGCACACTAGATCCTTGCCTTCCTAGCTTATAAAACTTGCCAGAGGAGGATTAGCCAATTGGTTTTCAAAGATAATAAATGCCTCCTTGAATCAAGGGCAAATTCCATCATGTCTAAAACAGGCAATAGTAAGACTAATCCTGAAAAAGGCATCCCTTTACTCATCAATATTGGGCAACTATCGGCGAATTTCAAATCTTCCTTTCTCGGGCAAGGTTCTGGAGCAAGTGGTTGCTTCTCAACTCCAGGGATTCTTAGATGAAACTGATTATCTGGACCCATCACAATCTGGCTTCAGGCCTGGTCATGGTACTGAGATGGCTTAATAAGGGGTGTGTGTCCTTGTTGGTTCTCCTGGATATCTCAGTGGCTTTCAATATCATCGATAATGGTATCTTTCTGGGATGGCTCTCTAGAATGGGTCTTGGGGACACTGCATTGTAGTGGCTCCACTCCTTCCTGGAGGGCCATACCCAGTTGGTGAAGCTGGGGAAAACTTGCTCGGACCCCTGGCCTTTTGACCTGTGGGGTCCTGAAAGGTTCTATTCTTTCCCCCATGCTTTTCAACATCTACATTAAACCACTGGGTGAGGTCATCGGGAGTTTTGGATTTCGGTGTCATCTCGATACAGATGCAACTCTACTACTCCTTTCCACCTAACTCCAAGGAAGCCCCTCGGATCCTCGGATCCGCTGTGATGGAGTCATGTGACAGAGGCGAGGTATAAAAATAAAGTTGTTGTTGTTATTACACAATAGCCGATTATGTGTGTTGCGTTTATTTTTCATTGCAAGTGAAACAAGAAATAGATCTCCTAAAAACCAAATGCCACTTACTGGAATAACTTCCGTGTTTATTTCTTGCTTGCTGAATCTGTAAACAATCACATGTGCAGAAACACCCGCAATACACAGCATCCTGCTTTCTGCACACCATGAGATGATCTGAATGGCATATGGGTCTTCATCTACGATATCTGTGCTTGGCTTGTCATCTTTATTTCGAGACTTTTCAAATACTTTAGCAGTTTTTAGTTTATATAGCACTTGCAATGTTACTAGAAATAAATACACATAAAGTTAGTTTCATGCAGAAATGAGTAGATTTTTGACATTTCTATATGGAAACTTTGAAAAAGTTCTAATTCTATCATTGTGAATGCTCATCATTCCCTGTATTAGTTCCTGGGACTCTTGGGAGTCCAATATACAAACTCCTACAAGTATCACTGTGTGTGTGAGAGACCCTGCAGCATTCCCCTGAGGAAAAGGGAGCATTTAGGGGTTTGTATAGGAAGATGGGGACAGGAAAATAATGTGCATTTAAGAACAGCATGGGATCCTCGGCATTACAGACCACAAGGAAGAGCCAAAAATAGTTTCAACATTTAATAAGGTTTTATTGTACTTCCGAGATTTCCAATTTCGGTTTATAAAAGGATTTTAGAAATGTCATATGGGCTGTTAATGACAGATACCTTAGTAAAGGTAAAGGTTTCCCCTTGACATTATGTCTAGTCGAGTTTAACTCTGGGTGGTGATGCTCATCTCCATTTCTAAGCCAAACAGCCGGCATTGTCCATAGACACCTCCAAGGTCATGTGGCTGGTATGACTGCATGGAACATCATTACCTTCCCTTGGAGTGCTAGCTATTGGTCTACTCACATCTGAATGTTTTCAAACTGCTAGGTTGGCAGAAGCTGGGGCTAACAATTGGAGCTCACCTCAATCTGTGGATTTGAACTACTGACCTTTCAGCCAGCAAGTTCTGCAGCTTTGCGGTTTAAACCGCTACGCCACTGCTGCCCTCACAGATGCCTTACCTGTCTATAATTACCTCAACTGCCACCTTTAATTAGAATATTTTACCTGATTGACTCTATCACTGCTGACTGCCTGTCTTGCATATCTGCCTTTGACACCAATTCAATTAAGATGGAAAAAATCCTATTTTAATCAGATAATTTAACCACACCATAATTTAGTTCAATGAGAGTTAAACACAACTACCCAGGGCCTTAATAATCAAGTGAATAAGAGAGAAATGAGAAGTATTATGAATGTAATAGTGCTAGGGAAAAGACATCACTTTTATAGGAGCAAACATTTAAAAAAATATTATCTATAAAAACTTGGTTGAAACACTCACTTGCAGAGGCATCCCAGAACTTGATTGATCCATCTGCATGCCTATTAAAACAGAAAGTGTTTTTTAAAGAAAATATTATTCGAAATTGCATATCAAAGATAATAGGATTTAGTTAGTTACACCAAACTGTTACAACAAAATATTATGGCTCTAGCATTAAAGTATTCATAGAATCATAGAATCATAGAGTTGGGAGAGACCACGCAGGCCATGTAGTCCAAGACAACTCTACATGCATTGACACAATATAGTCACCAAGAAAATTTAAATGGAAACCATGTGTGAAATCATAATAGAATATTTGGACACAGGATGCTATTGTTTTGATTCCAGTTATAATAATTATCAATACACAGTGAGCCCTTGGTATCTATTGGGGTTTGGTTCCAGAAGCCTCTATGAATACCAAAATCTGTTATATTTCAAAAGCAACACTAGTGTGACATCATGGATGATGAAATTAAACCTTTTCAGTCAAAAGATTGTAACATGTAATTACAAGTGGATTTTTTCAAATGTTATGGTATTGTATTATCAAATTAAAGAATAAAAAATACCAAGCCAAAATGCAATGTAGAGCAGAAGCAAAGTTACTGGTACCAGGGGAATCAGGATACTTTCCAAGCTCTAGTTTCTCAAGACAGAATTCTATGCTCAGATTAAATTTATGAATGAACAACATTTCTATTTCTAACAATGGCTAGTTTTTCTATTGTAACTTGGTAAAAACATGTATATGTACAAAGAATGGATGAGTGGATTTTGGCCTCTTTTCAGCCTTTTTCTTTTCTCCTGACATATTACTCTCCTCCCCCCCCCCCCCCCCCCCCCAGCTCCTCAAATGGACTGGAGATTCAACTGTGTCCTCTTTCCCCCCCTGAACAACATACCCATGCTTGATTTTTTTTTAAGCACAATAACTATGATAGTTTGTAGATTACAATTAACATCACTGGGCCTACATTTAAGTCCTCAACTTTATATTCACCTTATTACTTACCCAGTAATAATGATCTCTGGATAACTTTGTGTGACCAAACCCCAATTTCCACCATTGATCGGCCACTCCTAATTAAACAGACAAATAGATTACATTGATGTATATGGAACACTAGGGTTTAGAGATTACAATAGTAATTCCTTTTAGTACCTTTTTGCTATAACCTTGACGCTTCTGTCGAGCCCCAACTGAATAAAGTACTGGAATAAGGTCCACAGGACAATCAGCAAAATATTCACAGCAGGTGACTGGAGATTCATGTATACTCAAAGGATAGGGATTCTCAAATATAGGATACCTTTAATAATGGAATGAAAATGTAAAACGTTATTTTTTTTAGGTACAAATTTTCAATATTACTTTTTCCTTTATATGAGTTTAAACTATCACAATTACATCAACAGAAGAGAGCAAGAATTAATGACGGGGTCACAAGCACCAAGGGAGAATTAAGCTGTACTATTTGTAATCCACTTGAAAAATTATCAGCATATGAATATTCTTAAAATTCAAGCATTGCTAGAATCCAATCATGAAAATTTAGTTGCAAATGCCTTCTATTATATTAACACACACATATACTCACACTCTTCACACATTTAAAATCAAATAATGTGAATTAGTTTCTTTACTGTAAATTCACACCACTAAAATTCTCAATAGTCAGCAATGTTCAGAAACTACTATGTGATATATCACTACAACTGTAGGTGTGTGATTAAAATTTACCTAAGGTTGCTTTAGGACAAAAAAAGCTGCAGCTAGAACACAAAGAATATCATCTAAAAGCAAGAAGGATAAGGAAGTCAGACTACCTTTATTTCACAACCTAGTCATTAATTACTTCATTAACATAATACATTAAAATATGTAATTATAGCTATATAAAACACTAACATTATAGGGCCAGGTCTATTCCAAGAAGCTATAATGGTGAAATCTGATCACACATACTATCTAGATCACTTGTAAGGCAATATACGATATTAACCATAAGGACATATAATCATAATGTGAACAAACATCTACTCACACAATTGTACCTTCTATTCAGGTTTTTCCACCTGTATTCAAAACTATTTTCATGTACTTTAACATCTGCTTTAAAAAGGTAAATCTGGGATATGTACAAGTCTAGAAATTTAGTCAAAAAGTTGACTTATCCATAGTTCAATGTAAGAATTGTGCCTTAACACTTATAAAAAAGGAACCACTCTATTATCTGAGGAGAGTGGCAAAAGAAAAAAGGGCTTTGTCTGTCATGGGAAAACTCCACAGAAGCATTAACCTTATCTACTTTCTTTAAAAAGGAGGTTCGGTCACATATTCAGTAATGAAATCCACGCTAAATATTTTTCTACCCTACTTACAAACACTTCACACTGGTGAATAAATCATCTCTTTCTGGAACAATTGTTGCTGTATTAAACCACAGTATCAAAAATTGCTGTTGTTCTGTGCCATCAAATAATTTCCAACTTACTGTGACCATAATGCATACCTATCACTAGGTTTTCTTGGCAAGATTTGTTCACAGGGGCTTGACTCTGACTTCCTCTGAGACCAAGGTCACCCACTGGGTTTCCATGCCCAATTGAAGATTCAAACCAGCCCTGGCCTTCAGATTCCTATACTGATGCAACCATGACATCATGATGACTCCCTCATCTTATTTTTACATCTTATTTTTTTAAACCATAGATAGAAAAAAAAGAGGTTTGGCTTTTTTTGACTCCTCACTAGGGGTATTTAGGACACATCTCCGAAATTACATCTCCGAAATTCTTTTTCTTTGCCATCTTTTCTCCACAAAGATATCTTGTGTGTAACAGCCACATAAATTGCAGATATAAAATAGGTATGGCTTTTCCAAGAGCATTATTTCCATAATATCTTGGCTGGGTCATCTTAAATCAGCTAACTAAACCAATTATCAGTCTTATGCTTATCCTCTCAGGAACAATCACACTGACCTCACTCAGTATGCTTTAAGAAATACTGAACTTAAGCAAAAACTGTGCTTTTTATGCTAAAACAAAAATGCCAAAAAAGAAAAAAGAAAAGGAATACCAATTATTTCTGAATATGTTGAAATGCAAACCCATTTTTCATGTGGCATCTTTTCTTAGTCAAAGTTATTTTAAAAAATGTCTACTCAAAGCAGATAAAACTGATGTCTGGAATTCAGTTTATTTGGGCCTTGGCATGTTGTGAAATAGAGGGAAGAGGAAGGAATGGAAAATCAATAAATTGTGTTATTTCTGGGCAGCCAGGAAATAAAGAGTTAAGTGTATGACAGAGGTCAGGAAAATGTCAGAAAGGATACATATTTACAAGAGAAGTAAATATGATGAGATATCCTGGTAGTGTTTATATTTGCAAAAAGTCTGTTTATTTCCATAGAAGCTTTGAAAAATAAGGGAACCTCTGCAAAGAAAGCAATAAATGTAGACACAGTCCTAGAAGAGTGGGTGTGGATTTGATCGGTTAGCAGGTGATGTGTCCTATTCCTACCTATACCAATTTGGTAAACCATTGGGCAGAGACTACCAGGCCTATTCTAGGTCCAAAATAGTCCTACCTAGATAAAAAGGCAAAATTCAGATAATGTCCAGAGTGGAAAGCTTAGTCTCCAAGGGACTCTAGGTCCAGAAGATTAGGAGCAGTTGGTTTCACCTGTAGTTTGAGAGATTTTATTATGCACAGTAATTATTCCATGCATGCCTTCCAACAGGAACAAAATGTTCTGGTGTTCTATCAGAATACCCAGAGGCCATAAATGTTTGTGGTAAATAAGATGAACATTTGGATTTATAGTCATCATCCATTTCTGAGGCCAGTTCTGATTGTTTTGGAGACAGAATTTGTGAGAAGTTCAGAATTAGAGATAGTGTTCAATATCTGCTGTTTAGATTCCTCTGGTATAGAGCCACTGCTTTATCTGTTAAAACCTGAAATGAAAGGCCATGATAGTTGAGGGACAGGATGAGCAGATGAAAATGATGAAGGGTAAATGTGCTTGTCCTTTTCTTTCTTCTTCCTCCTGCATTCCTTAAGCCCTATATTCAATCCACATAGCTCATGAATCAGATTCAAAGTCTCATTTCCAAGTGGACCCAGTAATGCAGAGCCCAGCATGACTGGATTTAAGGGGGGGGGGGGGGCTTGTGTACTTTTACCTATTCCGTGTGTTTAAATACAATGTCTTTTGGGCAACGTATTACCTCTTCCAACATGTGCCTCTAGAGATAGGTATTCCAATACAAAAGGGCACACTTATTGAAGGTTTGGAAATGGCGGCACTTCCCAATTAAGTGTTCCTCACCAAGGCAGAAGAGGTAACAGAAGTATGTGGTTTATAATAATCTTAAGATGAACCTATTGGTAAGATTTATTCAGAAGGGGTTTGCCTTGATCCTCTTCAGATGCTGAGAGAGTGTGGCTTGCTCAAGATTACCTCGTGAGTTTCCATGACTGAGCTAGGATGTGGATCCTAGTTACTAGTCATAGTCCAATGCTTAAACTAGTACAAGATAACTGCTCCCCAAAGGGTGTCTTAGAAAAACACTTCATTTTGCAACTGACATTGTCCATTGTCACTTGTGTAAATTGCACAATTAGAAATGTCAAGCTTCCAGAAGATAGAAGAACTGTAAGACAAAACTTAAACTCAGTGAATAATATCCAGAAGAAGAAGGAGAAAGCAAATGGGAAGGGTCAAGATATCCACTGTTCTTTTCTATACAGGAAACATGGAAACTTGTTGTTCACCATAGCTGCATAAATCCCTCTATTTTGCCACTGCATAAATCCTTGTGTTATTCTATTCAAAATCACGACCCAAAATGTTACACAAGCCTTTTCTCAATAATTTCTCCAAACCTCTCTTCAATTGAACAAGATGTTTATAGGAATACAACCAAAAAAGAGAAATCTTAGGTTAAAATAACAATGCAAATTGTGATATTTGTTCACAGTATTTTAAAGAGAATTCTTACCCATTTTGTGCAAGATCAATAAGTACTAAATCTTTTTCTAAAAGAACAACCACAGCATATGGCTCTTGGAAATCTGGAGAGAGAGAAAACATAATAACACATACAAAGAGCATGAACCGTTGCATTTCTTTGGCTGGACATTTTCACAATAATGATTTAAGTTGTGAAGTTTGATACAACATATTAGCATAATGAAGTTATATGAAAACAGAATAGGGAAGAAATTATTTCAGCACTGACTGCTATGAACACATGATACGAAAGACTTATGAGGTGGGACACACTGAACACCTCGTATTCACATGTTATACTACCTTTTAAATACAGGTTGGGTATATCTTATTGAAAAATGCTTAGAAACAGAAATGTTTGGGTTTTTTTCATATTTCAGAATGCCTATATTTGCATATATATATACTTACACACACACACTTATTATTCTATAATTGAAATCCAAAGGCCTGCCTCAATTTATTTATTTATTTATCATGTCAGTATCAACCAGACAATTGTATTACATTTTTAACAATTTTTAAACAAACAGACAAAACAGAGTTTGCAAGCTTGGTAGTTGATTAAATGTCCTTTGAATAGTAGCTGGCCACTTGGGAGTGCCTCTGGTGTTGCTGCAAGAAGGTGGAGCATGTGCATGTGGAGGGGTCCAGGTTGCATTGCAGCAGGTGGTCTGTGGTTTGCTCTTCTCCACACTCAAATGTTGTGGATTCCACTTTGTAGCCCCATTTCTTGAGGTTGGCTCTGCATCTCGCGGTGCCAGAGCGCAGTCTGTTCAGCGCCTTTCAAGTCGACCAGTTTTCTGCGTGCCCAGGGGGGAATCTCTCATTTGGTATCAGCCATTGATTGAGGTTCTGGATTTGAGCCTGCCACTTTTG